TGTGGTTGGCATAGCTAACTCCACCCAATGATGATAGCTGTTCAGTGGAAACATTTATCTCAGGAGTTAGTCTCAATGGCAAGTAATTTCTAACCTTTGTTTAACTTTCTATGAACCAATTGGTTTTCACTCAGCCTATCATCCTGTTAAGCTAATAACTCTGAGTCCAAGTATGTTACCCTCCATCAGCTCTAGAGGCATCTAAACTAACAAAACAGCCAGCTTCTTTAATAAAAGCCCCCCCCACTTAATGAAAGACCTCAATTGCTTTTTTTTGAGTTTATCAGATGCACAATAGGTTTACATTAGGAAATGTTTGTCTTATATAAACAGGTCTAACACCTTTATATCAATCACATACATTAGTCTCTCATTATTTGTGTTCTTAGTTATATCAGAACATTGTAGTAACTTGTATCCATCAAATTACATTAGAAGAGATCACATCAGTATCATTTGTCTAGTGTATTATAAGTAGAAAACCTTTGCAAAAAAGCCCACCTTCTCACTTTGCCTACAATATAAGCAAAGTTCATTATGTAAGAATACTCTAAGACTTAACTTTAAGTGATACAGGCCTTACTGTAATGCATGCTAATTTTCTGTGAAGGACTAAGTATACCTAGAGGACCATATGCGAGTAATGTATACCCCTATTGTAAAAATGGGTGCATTAATGGTTGGATTTCATAGACGGCTAACAAAATATTACACCAGGAGCTTGAAAGGTATCTCGGCAGGCAGATAAACAATTTCATTGCCCTACTTATGACTTTCTTACCAATGATTCCTTAAAACTCTATAAGCACTATAAGCTTAAGCACCCAGATCTCTTCCAAGACAAAGACAGACATATTTATGAAGACGAAGGTAGAAATCATTCATCAGGCCTATCCTCCATGCCCTCTCCACCTATACAACTTTCTACAAGCCATTCTTCATTAGTAAGAAAGAAGAGATACCAAAAGTCTTCTAATACCTTACATAAAGATTCTGACTTTCATCTCACTGATGTCTCCACCCTACCCTCCAGTCCCAACTTAGTGCCTGCCAACCCCCCTAACTTCTCCCTCCTCCATCAAATTAGTTCTATAGTGGATCATATGCACATACATGGAGTTAACTGCTTATGATGTTGTTGCAATTTTTAGACACCCCCAACACCTTTCCTTTTAAACTTCTTCTCAGTGAAGTATAGACTGATTCATTATATGACCTGCTAATATTACTTAAAGGAGCCAGTGCAAGCTGTGTAATAGATCTCATCCAATGCACATCTTTCCTATTTGTAGCAAGCACAAATGACCACATAATGCAGGATAGGTTCTCATGCTCATTGATCTATTTCCTGATTGTCTCTCAATCTATCTTTCAATGGTAACCTTCAAGCTTTCTTCTAACATTATACTCCATTTATCTTGTAGTTTTGCATGTGAGCTGCTGGCATTATAGAGGAGTATAATTTTGTTCTGGACACTGACAATCCCAGCGAGGGCTTATTAAAGTATGTGCCTATTTGCAGTATTACCTTTTTTTTGACTCAATTCCCCTAGTTATTATGAGACTTTCTTGCACAAATTTCTAACTGAAGACAACTACTACTCATTCACTATGCAATGTGAGGAGATGCATCTCCTCTCTGCTATGACTCATTCTGAGACTTGCCTTCTCTCTCTTCTCTGGAATGATAATTATATTCAAGTGGATCAGTCACCTCTAGTTATAACCCACATTTGAGATATGATTCAAGCTCAGCTGGCCCATTTCAGTTTACAAGGCCTATTTAAAGAAGCATTTAGACCCCTAAAATGCTGCCCATTGACCCAAAAATCTCCTTTGCAAACAAACTCATAGGTACTTTTTCCTAACTGACCCTGACAACCTATTTCTTTGCTTCCAGCACCTCATCATAAGGACAATTGTTAAGGTCTCCAATGTATTTGAAAAGTATCATATAGTAGACTCCAAGGGAATCTTTTTATTCAAGCAAGGTGAACCTATTGTCACTAACTCCTTCATATCTGTGCTAACCCTAATCCAGCCTCCATCACTTAATGATTCACTTAGCTCACTAAGCTTCATACTAGATGCTCATGCTATGACTTCATATGGAATGACTTACCTCACCTTCATAAGGATATGCTTACCAATATCTTTCGTTGATCTGCACCAAACTAGTTAGGTGCATAGGTGACTAACACTCTCCCACAAGTCCTATATCTCAGAATATCACTATGAAACCTTTTCCCTTCTATCTGAAGTCAGACTGAGGCTAAAGGAATATTTTTCACATTTCTTTTCATTTTTCAAGTTTGTATATGAGCGGACTGAATATTTTAGTACATTTAATTCTGCAATTAGTTTTGCTTAGTCAGCAATGGTGATGACCCAGACTAAACCTCACGCATGTCAGGTGACTGTGAAAAATATTTCTCACATATGTTGTCCTGGGACAACATTATTAAAACCCTAAATACTAGGATCGCATCAGTTTCACCTATCACACAAATAGAAAAGCAAAGAAAAGATGGACACACAAGGATTTCACATCAGGTGATATTTTTCACTCCCTTTCTGGATTTGTCGTCGGAAGTTGGATAGGTCACATGACTAGCTACAAGCCAGGATGACTCATCGGTTTGAACTGACTCACTATTACTTACTTTGAATATATGACTCATTATGACTCTTGATGACTCTTGACGACTCTTGAATATACTAGTAGCACAGCCACATTTAATGTGTATATAATGACCCCAGTTTTTGACAATAAAAAAAAATATATAGAAGTTTTACAGCCCATCTAGCACTAAGTTGTGAGTAAGGTGTGATAAGTATCAGTACCAGTATTAAGAACTGTTCAAGACTGAGAGGAACATTCTCAAGAGACAGTAAATACTGCAAGCTCATCATACCAAGCAACTAGCTGTGAGCTCACTGTGTGCAACAACCAGCAAGCAAGGTACAGCCACAGTTATATTCAATTTTCAATTTTCTTTTTCTTTTTACTTTCACTGACCTTTGGTGTTCTTTTTCTAAAAACATATTCCATAAAATTCGTGTTGTCTCTACATCCACCTAAGACTCAGAGTAGCTTAGTGGGGAGACTTTAGGAATTGATAGTGAAGCTTGACCTCACTCATCTGAGTAGTGATACTGAGCCAAGGTTTTCTTTGCCTGCTAGGCTCTAGCTGTTGAAGAGAGGACTTGGTAGTAAATCCAAGGACATCCGTTCCTGAGTCTGTTTGAATACTCAAAGTGAGTTCCTTGACAGCAGGTTCAATATTGAGCTAAGAGTTCTACAATAAAGCATCAATTAGTCTTGACCTTTGATTCTACCTGTTTCATGCTGAAGAGGTTGATCATTGTAATTCTACACCATTCTTTTTGAAGTATAGTTGGTATAAGGCACTGTTGTTGAAAGAAAACTTGAGAAAGAGTTCTATATTCTCTGGTCATTGCCATACTGTTGGGCTGACCATTGTTTGTTTGTTTTTCTGTCAATCCTATACTAGTGGATTGACTATCGTAGTTACTGATCTTGCAGAAGTACCTTTAGCTGAACATACCTTAGGAAGTATACAACAAGCCACCTACGAACAACCACATTATTAGTCATCGGTATTTGTCTGAATTGCTGACCGTAGAGATATTTGTTTTTATAGGTGTTTATCTATAGATCGTCTATCTAAGAAGACATTACTAGAGCCTACTGCAAGGGGTGGTATTCTCAAGTTTGTAACTAACCAAGTATATTCAGACCAGTTTTGCTACTGTATCGACATTCACACATTCACACTACTTGATATCTATTGTCATCATGAGTACCCAACTAGCAAACCCAGCACCTGTTCAGCCTGTGCCTGCATAACTGGCAGTGCCTATTCATCCACCACTTATTCTACCATTACCAGGAGGCAAATATGCTCCTGCTAAGTTCAAGGGGAAGTATAACCAAGTCAAGAGATTCATTCATCACTATGAAAGATTATGTGACCAACTTTCAATCACCACTGACCAAGAGATGTGCGAGAATGTTACCTTGTATTGTTCATCATGCATCACACGACTTATCGAAATATTGCCAAGTTTTAGAAGTAACAACTGGGCTGACCTGAGGGCAGACTTTAACAGCCTCTTTGATGCAGATCGGGATGCCAAAAGATACAAGGTTCACAGCTTAGTAACCTTTGTCAACAAGCATCGGTCAGCATCTATAAGGACATTGTCAGATTGAAAAAAGTATACCTAGGATTTTGTGGCTATAGGAGGATGGCTACTAGCCAAGAGCAAAATATCAAGTAATGACCATGCTACCTACTTTTGGAAAGGAATTCCTAGAACATTACACTCTAAAATAAAAACACGGTTATTGGCAACAACACCCCTAAGAGATATGACAATCTCTTTCATCTTTGATGAGGTATCCCAAGCAGCAGAGAAGATTTTGCAGTGTGATTGCTTTGACACTGACTTAGTATATTCAGATACAGATAATTCAGATAGCAGTGATTCAGACAGTTCTACCTAGTAAGACCATTATATGTAAGACTTGCTTTGAAGATGGAAGTTCCGATGAGGAAACTCCTATCTCCAAGACATGAAGGGCAGTTCACAGACAATGGGCTGCTAAGCAAGGTTTACAAGAAGAAGTAGAGAATTTGATTCAACAACTGAGAAGAATGAAAATAGGGGATGCTAATTACACACTATATTATCAAGCTATAACCTTAGATCCTGCAGTGAAATATATTGTTGAGAATTCTTTAAGCAGGAAAAGAAGAGAACAGGACATGGGCTTAAGAGACACTAGATTTCCCAGTGTCATATTCACACCAAGAGTCAATGGAACAAATCATATAACCAGAAGTACTAACAACCAATACAATGTACCTAACAGAACTAATACTACCCCTAACTACTCTAATACCTCCTATCCTGACAAACCAATCTATTATGGATGCGAAGAAGATAACCATGGATTAGCAACATGTCCAAAGATGGAAGAGATACTTACTAAGGGTGAGTTAGTAAGAGGAAGAAGTGGACGGCTTATGTTGCCAGGAGAAATACCCCAAAGAAGATGGCTGAATCAAACAATAATCAATACTTATGAAAATTGGAGTTGGACAGCAAAGACTCACTTTGTAAGATGGATGGAACCTGAATTGGGAGATGCCGCAAGTGAATCCAATGGATCAGAAAGTTGCTGGGTGATGGTGCACATGAGTGGTGATGACTCCGACAATGAGGAAGTTTGTGCTTACCCAGTATGCAGAACCCAGAAGGAGGGCACGCACAAAAAATCTGAAGTGTTTGATGGTGTCTACCCGATGATGGGAAGAGACGCATGGGAAGCAATGAAAAAAGAACAACGTCAGAGATATGAGCTGTGGAGAGACAGACAATACGCACCAGTATCAAGGTCACAGCCTCCGAAAACTTCCAATGAACTTCCGACACTCAGAAAATCCAACCCAACACTTCCGCCCAAACCAACGGTGCCTGAAGGCCGTGAGTTTAAGATAGCAAAACCTAGAAAAATCAATGAGTCAGTAAGGAAGCCCCTGGGAAATCCTAGGGAGGACAAAGAGAATATACCTTTAAGGTCTGTAGCGCATCCAGAGTTAATAGAAAGAGAAGAAAGGAAAAACGAACCTAAAAGAATATAGATGCGCGAAAAACTGATGCCTGTGCCAAACATTGAGGAAGAAGTGTGGTATGATGCACAGGATGTCGTCATCATCATGGAAGATGACACACTGACAAAAAGAAAGACTAAAGAGTTAGTAAGAAAGTTGGGAAAAGATGACACCAAGGACACACCGAAAGAAAGGACAAAGGTTCATATGCCTTCTGATCATGTGATTGAACCTAAAACAGGAATGAGGTGATCAGAACTTGCTGATGGAATCAGCGCAAAGTTAGTTCTGAATAGAATATTAAATGTACCAGTAGAAATAACTGCAGGTGAGATCCTTGGGGTGTTTAAAGAATTAGCCAGACTTTTGGCTGAGTCAATTAAGCCACCAATGAGTAGAAAGGACGTACATTTGGTGTATGACTCAGTGAAAAAGAATAAGTCAGAAGCCGAAGGTTTTTGGATCACAGGAATTGCCAAAGCACGGATGAAAGAAGCATCAATAGAATTCCCGATCAGAATTCACGGGAACAGTCTGAAAGTGGTAATAGATACCAGAAGTCAACTAAATATAGTTTCAGAGCAAATGTATGAAAAATTTATAAAACTTCTGATCAACCAGAGCAAGACACTTGTATTACATGACACAAATGGCGGAAAGGGGCTGCTTAAGGGGCTCATATCACAAGTTCCTATTAGTATAGAATCAGTTCTCACAATAGCTGAAATTTATGTAGGTGAAGCGGTGCTGTTTGACATTCTATTAGGTAGACCCTGGCAAATACATAATACAGTATCAATACATGAACACCCTACAGGCACTTGGTTAGAATTTGGGAATAGCCAGAATCGAGGACCGCCTCAAGAAAGAAGATATCACCGATCTGCGCAGGAAGCTTCCACAAGCTTCACCTGCATCATCACCTTCCATCCTCACCCTCACGCCTCCCAATTCCCTGGCTCATTTTATCTCAAAGATTGAGTCCATTGGCGACGTCAACACCGGACTTGCGGATGAATGGGTCGAGTTACCCAAAGTCCATTTTGCTAATGGTACGAATGCTTACACTGTCAAAGCTACTGACAATGAAGATGATGACGCAGATGTGTTGGATGACGATGCTCTCGCCTCAGACAATGAGAGCAATTCGTCAGACTGCTCCTCATTTGCAGCTGAGGATGAGGACAACACTACCATCTCCAAGCACACCACTGCTATGGAGCAGCTTGCTCATCTCGCTCACGACCTTGCCAACCCACTCTCCCATCGCATCATGCCTAAGCTTGTCCCCGCCCTTAAATTCAGCTGCACCCTCGAAACACTCGAGGAACAGGATGAGTCTATGGACTTTGTCCCTTGTAACACACCTGTTGCCTTCAGCCTTACTACCAACAAACTCCAATATGACCCACTACCTTTCTGTGGTGACTATGACCGTGCACTTGTCCAGCGTGTTATTGGAGCCTGCCAGTACTTGTCCCATGCGATGGTTGCGGAGGGAACATGTGAGCTGGGGCTTGCTTTGCCCTTCATCTAACCCACTCTTCACCTTGGAAGAAGTTGCCATGCTTCGCACCGTGTCAGGCATCTTTCAATTCTACAGAAACTTTCCAACTCGCCGACACTATTGACGACCTCCTCACTCTTTCCCTCCCCGATGAAGACACCATCCACAAGCTTCTTCAGAACTACTCCCTCGACGACCTTTGTGGTACTGGTGTTATGGCTAACACCAGCCTCAACTACTTATTACACATCACGGAATCTCAGCATGAGCTCTGCTTCAACATGAAGCGTGAAGGTCCGTACTTTTTGGAATAGGGCAGGTGAATCTTTTCTCTTCCATTCATCCTTATACCTGGCTCTTTTTTTTTCTTTCTATTCACATTCTAGTTCTTATTTCCTTTACTTAGAAGTAGTTCTTTGTTTTCATATGCATGTAGCTTCTACACAGATTTGTGTCCTTACAGTAGTGCTTGCTTCTGTTGTTTTGTGCTTATGACCTGCTCTGAAAGTTTGTTCTTGAGTAAATCTATTTTTGGAATCATAACTAGAAAATACAAATACATAGATCGAGTATGTACTTATGTGTCACACAATCAGTTCTGTTTTTTGTTTTCATTTACTTTGGACATAGGAAATTATTTTTTTGATATGAAGGAAGTTCTCATTCAAAGACTCCTAGGTACCTGATATTAACACACATATGTATATAATGAATCTAAAATTGGTTTATTGAAAGACTCTTGGATTGAAGGCCTAGAACTATTAGGACGAAAAATTTACTAAGTCCTTAGACACTCAACAAGTGCCATCATTCAATACACTAATAGTGCCATTAACAACACACACCCCTAAATCAATATCAACCATAATCTCCAACAAACCAAGTCACTTTAGCCTGAGAAACTACTCTTTACTAGTCCAACTTTACAAATCTTTCACAAATATATACAACATATACGTAAGAAGCACATTGCTAAGAGTATGCTAAGTGTGAAACAGAGATTACTGGCCCACACGCCTAGAACATGTTGCAACATTTGACCTTGCCTGACAACCGAGTCTCATGCAACTCACACTTAGCAATAAGTCACACCCATAATATAGAACCAGTCCGACAAACCAATGTCACCCCAAATGCAAAATTTGGAAACCATGCAACTAAGCTATGGGCTCTATGTGCAAGCCAGCGATACCCTTGAAGAATATAAAGATTTTGGACAAGGAAGTGCAGAATCATATGACTCTGCAACCATAGAAGAAAGTGATGAGAATATGGTAACCATATGGACCGATAGCATCACAGACCATTTTGAGCCTGGAGATTCAATATGGACAATGACCCTTGATGGACATGAGAATGAAGGGATGTTTTGGACCCCTGACAACCCTTTCAAATACCCATTGGCTAGCTCAGAAAATGCCAATTCATTCACAATGTATAAGCAAGTTGACAAGAAAGTACATCCAGTTCCAGGGGTATTTCCCCAGGAAGCCCAGGTAGTGAGATAATTTCCAAATGACCCTTTAGACAATCTTGTACCCCTATCTTATAATCCACCAGACATAGTTCCTACCAAGAAACTTACTATAGAACAACTTGAAGCTTTGAATATCAATTCCAAAGGATTCTTCATCCTAAAGAAGAGAAGTTGTTTCGATATATTATGTGGCTGCATCAGGATGTATTGGCCTTTGAAGATACAGATAGAGGTACTCTGAAAAAATCCTACTTCTCTCCCTATATTATCCCTACTATTCCTCATATTCCATGGGAATACAAGAATATCGCAATTCCACTGGGAATATGAAGCAAGTTTATAGAGGTACTAAAGCTGAAAATCAATGCAGGAGTATATGAAGCTAGTCAATCTGCATATAGATTAGTGGGACTCACAGTAGCTTTTGGGAAACTCGCTAAAGGTCGCTAAAGCCCGCTAAACTCGGGTCGAGTTTGCAGGAAACAGTGGCTGAAAAGCTACATAATACTCGGCACACATCGGCACAATAGCGGAGTTAGAAACGACACTTGTGCATTTTCAAAGGTTGTGATACACAAAATGAGTAAATTAGATAGAGTAGGCAATCCGAGATATGTACTTGTGAGGAGTAGTGATAAAGTAGATCCCCCCAAGGCGCTTTGTATTTGAACTGACGGATATCAATAAATTTGTGAAAATACACGAAGTCCACTGAGATTAGGGTGCATGCCGTGCGGCGTCTCGTAGGGTCAGGGGTGGCAAAGGCAGCGCGGCTATCGCGCTGCATCGTCTGCGGCTTCTCGGGGAGTTTGAATTCGGTACGAGGAGGGGGGGTGATAGAAGGCAACGGCGTGGATGGGGGGAGCTGGTGTTTGTGGGCGGATTGGCGCCTGGGGGGGCTGTTGAGGTCCGTGATGTTCTCGCCGTAATCGGCCGTCACATGGGACCCAGTTATGCACACGTCGTCGTCGTCGTAGTCCATTCCCCCGTCCTTGTGATTGAGGGGGAGATAGAGCTGGCCTTGGCCAGGATGAGAGTAGGGGACAGGTGTTTGGATTTGATGGGGGGTGGGCGCTAGGCGCATAGTGAGGCGGGGCGCTAGGGCCAGGGTGATGGATGTAGCCGCTATAGCTAGCGCCGGAAAGGACATTGGAATGGGGGGCAGGCTGAGCGCTGAGAGGAGGGGGCTGGGCGCAAGGCGCCCAGCCCCCAAGCTGAGCACTAGGAGGAGGGGGCTAGGCACTGAGAGGAGGGGGTGGAGCTGAATAAGGCTCACTGCCAGAGAAGCAGGCTGAGGTTGCATGCTGGGGGGATGCGTCTCCACACACTATGAAATAATAAGCATAGAGAAACGTGCAACTAGACAGAGTAGCGTACCTTCTGAAGATAACGGTAAACATCCTTCGTCAACTTCTTGAACAGCATGCGGAATAGACCAGCGAGTAGAGGACCAGCCAAATCAAGATGTTTCTTCCTGAGATGATCACGGTCATCCAGCTCTCTCCGTTCAAGAGCGGCGAGAAGTAGTCTGTGGATCGTGGGATATGACGCCGAGAGCACGGAGAACTGGATCTTTGCCTTCACGTTGTCGATGGTGTCTGATGACTCCATCTCCAACGTGATGGTCTGGACGAAGATCCGCATACCGCCAGGTGCATCTAGGCGTGAGCTGGACTTGACCAGAAATTCCCGAATTTTTAAACTCCGCCGTAACCAACACCATATCAGCCAGCGCAAAAATAGGGGAATTGATCCCTCGAACCTCACTATGCCTCGTCCAAGCAACCGGGCACAGATACTGCATGACCTTGACATGGCTGCGCTTGCCGTAGCCAGGGCCACTTATGAGCACGTAGTGCAAGATACCCGTTCTAGTACGGACTCTCTCTCAAGCCCCTCTTCTGATTCAGAACTTGGCAATTTCATGAGCATCATGGCTATCACACCTCCTTCACCTATTTCACCATTCCTTTCCGACTTTTCTGAATCAGACTTCGACTCATCCAGTGATGAAGCTGATCATATCACAGCTCGTTATAACCACCTTCAAGACCAGATTGCTGCTCTCCGGGATGAGGTGGAAAAGGCACATGTACTCCACCACCCTGACGAGCCTATGCCACGAGCCAGTCAGCTGCACCTTCTTGTGCATTTTGGGGAACATCGTCCCCACCTTTTTTGGCAGAAGCTACGTGTCGAGCCTGAAATCTTCGATGACATCCTGGATTTAATCTCTGACCATCCCATCTTTCACAACAACTCACACAATCCCCAACTCCCCGTCTCTATCCAGCTCGCCATTTTTCTCAACCGCGCAGGCCACTACGGTAATGCCATAACGGTGGAGGATGTGGCCCAGTGGGCAGGTATTAGTGTTGGATCAGTTGTGAATTGTACAAACCGTGTTATGGTTGCATTGCTTGATTAGCATGATGCATTCATGAGTTTCCCTCCTCCTGACTCAGAGGATTTCCAGCACGCCCGGGAGTATGCAGCCAAAACTGTTTGCCCTGAGTGGCAGAACGGGATTCTAGCTGTGGATGGCTCCACAATTAATGTGTATCAGAAGCCTGGTTTTCATGGTGAAGTTTTTTTTGATAGGAAGTCAAGATATTCCCTTGGCTGTCAGGTGTGTTTCCTTTCTGTCTGTCTCCTGTTTGTAATTAAATTAAATTATAGGCCATCATTATGCCCCATAATCTTCTTATAGTCGACTATGCTCTTGGTCACCCTGGAAGTGTCCATGATGCCTATGCTTTCAGGGCCACTCGCCTTTATCGAGAACACGCCACACTTCTTCCCGACAACCACTGGGTCTGGGCAGATAGTGCATATCCTCTGGAGCCCTGGTGCATCCCCCCTTTCAAGAAACCCCGCAATGGCATGCTCACAAACAATCAGAGGACATTTAATTATCACCTTTCTTCAGTTTGTATTTTTTTCTGTTGCAGTTAATTTCTGATTTAAAATTTATTTAGATCTGAGTTCGTGTAGAACACGCCTTTGCAGCTCTCAAAGGACACTTTCAATCTCTTAGGGACCTTCGACGGAATATCCATTCAGAAAATGACCTTTGTACGGCCGTTCATTGGATTCAATGCTGCCTAATACTCCATAACATGATCATTAGGCTAGAAGAAGCTCGGGGATGGAATGAGGACACTGGTACAGTAGCATGGGCCCATCAGCAGGGCAGAGGCATGATAGATGAGGAGTTTGAAGCCCCTGATGGTAATCAGGTGGTTGGTGACAGATTGTATGATGGCACCCCAGGTCAGGCTTCCCGCGCAAAGTTGATGGACCTACTACTTGACAGCCCCGCGTCGAGAGCACAACGCCGAGAAGGATAGGGAACTCACACAACCAATCACACAGCACATAAAGTTCAACACATAGTATTAACAAGACCTACATACATGACATGAGGGAAGGGGGCAACATACTATGATGATAGGTAGAAGAGTAGCTATAGGAATGTCAAACAACAGAGCTAGAAACACAAAGCACGATGCGACACACAAATATAACTAAAATTGGAATGATGACATACATTGTGACAGCGCGCGAACCTTCAAGGCCCACCTGTGAGCTGGCGGTACTGGATCTTGAGGCGCAGCAATACTGCCTCCTCAGCATGCGCTTTCGCCGACGACTCGTGCATCCTGGCCTCTGCCTCGCGGAGGCGGATCTCAGTGTCCTTCGCCTCTTGTGAACGTTGATGGACGGTGGCAGCATCCATGCGCTCGTCCTGGCGCTCAGCTTGGAGGAACCGATGTTTGTTTTCCTGTCGGGTGAGATTGAGCTTGGCCATGTAATGATCGTTCTTGAGTTCCTCGCGAGAGACCTGGGACAACTTCTCCGACTTGATACTCCCGATCTCGTTGGTGATGGCACCAACTTGGCTCAAGATGTCCGAGCGCGCCTTCTTCGACGGCCGACCCTTCCCCTTCTCAGAGCCCGCGGATTGCGACGTCGGAGTCGTCGACATCGCGACTGACGGCGTCAATGTCGGTGTGGACCGCGAACGCGAAGACCCAACACCCGAAAGAGGCTTGAGCGACCTCCCGCTCATGCATCTCATGGGGTCAGGGGTGGCAAAGGCAGCGCGGCTATCGCGCTGCATCGTCTGCGGCTTCTCGGGGAGTTTGAATTCGGTACGAGGAGGGGGGGTGATAGAAGGCAACGGCGTGGATGGGGGGAGCTGGTGTTTGTGGGCGGATTGGCGCCTGGGGGGGCTGTTGAGGTCCGTGATGTTCTCGCCGTAATCGGCCGTCACATGGGACCCAGTTATGCATACGTCGTCGTCGTCGTAGTCCATTCCCCCGTCCTTGTGATTGAGGGGGAGATAGAGCTGGCCTTGGCCAGGATGAGAGTAGGGGACAGGTGTTTGGATTTGATGGGGGGTGGGCGCTGAAGGGTGGGCGCTAGGCGCATAGTGAGGCGGGGCGCTAGGGCCAGGGTGATGGACGTAGCCGCTATAGCTAGCGCCGGAAAGGACATTGGAATGGGGGGCAGGCTGAACGCTGAGAGGAGGGGGCTGGGCACCTTGCGCCCAGCCCCCAAACTGAGCACTGGGAGGAGGGGGCTGTGCGCTAGGCGCATAGCCCCCATATCGAGTGCTTGAAGAGGATGACGCACTACCGGCAGTGCTCGCCTGCACGAGGGAAAAGTATTTGGACACATGGTCCACCCCTGGGGCCGATGAGATTGTCTTGAGGGACAGGGCTGGGTTCCCCCCAAGGATAGCAGCGAGGTCGTCATACCAGGAGAATTCCTCCAGGATTTGTGCTATGAACATAGTCAGTAGTAAAATTAAATTAAACAAAGCATGTACCATGCAAATTTGCTGCAGTCGTTTCATCAAGTGGCATGACGCCAGCGCCCGTCGAGTGTAGTTTATCGTGGAATTCACGATACTTTTTCCTCAGGCTGTAAAGGAGATATGTTTGCATACATACAAAAATAAATAGGAGGGCACTCACCCAGAGATATGGCTGTTTGTGGAGTCACGGAATCTTTCAGGATCGTCGGGATAGTAGTTCGCATATTCGGGATCGTTCTCGAAGACAGACTTTGCGATGATTTGGCAGATTGATACCTTGTCTTTGGCCGAGGGGCGATCACCATCAGCATGTGACTTATTGTCAGAGTAGAATAAGACGCGGCAGTCAGCAGGATGTGTACGAAGATGTTCCATGATTTTTTCGGTGCGCCTAGGGTCAGCTTGCCACTGAACACTGAATTTTGGGGTGCGCGCTTGGTCTTGACCGCTAGTACTTGTACTAGCGGTCGAACGTACTCGCGATCCTCGAGTTTTCCCTTTCCCACGGGTGGTATGTGGCTGGGTGGGTTCCATGGTGGGTACGACCTTCCGCAAGTGAGTGTGCAAAGCTTTGAGTCGCGCAGGGCGACGAGGACGTGGTGGTCAAAGGGCAGGCATAATTTCGAAGTCCGCCATCATGCCGAGGCGTGCCACATGTCCTGCGCGTGTTGGGTGGGCGCTTGGCCCAGCTTTATCCGAGTTTAGCGGGCTTTAGCGACCTTTAGCGAGTTTCCCAAAAACTACTGTGAGTCCCACTATTGTGATGGTTCTGTGTGGTAAAGAAGAATGGAAAGCTTATGATAGTGCACGATTTGCAGCCTCTGAACAAGGTTACAATTCATGATGCTGCATTACTGCCTATTCTTGATGACTTTGTAGAACCTTTTGCAGGAGCTCAATGTTATACAGTATTTGACTTATTTTGGGGATTTGATGCTAGAAAATTGTACCCATTAAGTAGAGATCTTACTGCATTCCTGACACCCTCATGATTACTTCGCATTACATCGCTTCCTACTGTCATATCTAGTATTCCAGACCTACATCTGACAATATTCCCACGCCTCATCCGGACCTCCGGACCCCCTGTCCATGTCCTTTATCTGTCAAGATCCCTGTAATTTTGCATATCCACACACCCAGATCCGATATCCGGACACCCAATCTGATATCCACTCTTCAGGATCTCCAGATCCGACCTATGCTTCATATCCGAACCCAAACCTTAAATCAGCGCCCATCCCCTTATGGTAATCACCTGTTTCTGGACATCTGGTTATCCCTATAACCAACTGTGCTTTATTTTCCGTACCTGATTCATTTCCGTCTTCATTTTATTAAGTTCTGATACACTAGTGTTAGGTGTTCCACATGCTCTGTCCATAGCCTCACATAGCCTTGCACTGTGCTGACTGACTCTCCATTATGTCCTCCATAGTATATAAACCCTGTAGAAACTCCTGTATTTCCTTAGTCTGAATATTACACATATTAGTCCTTGCACTAGATCTCACACTAAGTCCTCATACTAGTTCTAGTCCTCCGACTTAGTCAATATCCATCTCAGGCCTAGGGAGGAATTCCCTAGGCCAGAGCTCCGCTCCTCCACTCCTCCGCTCCTCCGCTCCTCCGCTCCTCCGCTCCTCCGCTCCTCCGCTCCTCCGCTCCTCCGCTCCTCCGCTCCTCCGCTCCTCCGCTCCTCTGCTCCTCCGCTCCTCCAAGTTTCCGGAAGTTCCTCCGGAACTTTCCCGTGGTCCTCCGGACCTATTCTGCTTCGGACTTTGTCCCTGCAGCCTTTCCTCTGTTTGTTTCTACTCAGGACTTGTCCTGAGTAGCCATTACACATATCTGTACCAGGACGAAACCTCATAGTAATTTCCGGAAGTTCCTCCGGAACTTTCCCGCACCCCTCCGGAAGTTTCTCGCACTCATCCGGATCCGGACAGTCCTTCCGGACTTTCCCACGCTCCTTCGGAAGTCCTACAGACTTCCTTGGACTTCCTCCGGATGTCATCTGCAATTAAGGGCACATACTCAGGTAAGGGGTGCAGCGCACAAGCTGAGGCCAAGCCCCTCAGAATCAGTCCTACCCTTTGTGCATGGTCTTAACAAACACCTAACACTAGTCTATCGGAACTTAGTAAAATGAAGACGGAAATGAATAAGGGACGGAAAATAAAGCACACTAACTGATAAGGGAAATACTCAAGGGAAAAGGCACGGAAGATAGCAGCTAACTGGATCTGGAAGTCCGGAGATGATTGCATGATTGGTCCGGGTTTGAAATGTGGGATATTACAGTATCCCCCCTTCAGGCCTGAGCCCTCAAGGCTTCTGATTCGGAAGTCCGGACCGGACTTTGATGAATGCAAGATGATGGGCATAGCTCGTAAAAATAGAACTGGACCATAAGAAGGCCGGGGCGCCCATGAGATGTCTAAAACTTTCTCTCTAATTCCTATTACTGCTTTATCATATCTAACTCCACTTCTGGCAACAAGAAGTCCATCCGGCAGCTCCTTCAAGAGAGACAGGCAGAAATGGCGGCGGAAATGGCGCGACTCGAGGCAGACGCTCGGAGAGAGGCGGAGGAAGAGGAATGTTAGCTCAAGGAGGCGGAAGAGGAACAGAAACGTATGGAGGAACAGAAGCGGAAGGATATTGAGGAGACATGCAATTGGCAGAACGTGAGTGTGAGCGTATGGCGAAGGCTATGGTGGATGCTGCATCGGAGGTAAGTTACATGTAGTGTTGTGGTTTCTGGAGGTTTATAATTTGTTAGTCCTCCGGTCCGGCGGATCCAGAGGTTGCATGTGAGATGTGTGTCCTTAGGCGCAAGACTTGCACCTGGGCAGTAGCATCTAAGACACCTAGAGTGAGTTTCTGCTTTGTCCGGATCCGGATGTTTGTTGATTTCTCCGAAAGATCTGGACCTGTGATCAATGCCGTGTGTCCAAGGAACAGTGCGTCGGCGGAAATCCGCCTGTCAAAGCGCCGGCCAGCAAAGGCAAGAAACGTGCGCGTCCGGAAGGATCTCCATCCCCCAAGGGCAAGGGTAAAAGACATCAGCAGAGTCCAGAGGACATTGATGAGGACGTGGAAATAGTTTCCAATCCCCGGACGGTTATCGGAGAGGATCAGGAATGGATGGAGTATGATGATCAGGCCTGGGTTGCAGCTGCCAACAATATTGTGGCAGAACTGACCCAGACCAATGGGCTGTTGGAGAGAGGTGTTGTGGCGGTGGAGGGGAGCAGAGCTGCAATGGACCAGGTGAGTGAAACCATGCTCAGGTTCATGGAGGAGCAGAGGGAGTTTCAGAACCTCTTCTTAGAGGGTCTGAGGGGCGGATTCCGGATGAATGTGGAGGGAACTCTGGAGGAGGAAAATGCTGAGGAGGCGGAAAAGGAGGCCGGTGGAGATGTGGAAATGGACCCCTAATCATGGGATCCGGACTCCGGAAATCTGGACGCCCTTAATGTACATATATGCATGTTATCTCTTACTCATTGTTAGAAGTTGGTCCCAGCTTGTCCGGATATGCTGAGTGGAAATCTGATAGAAGTTCTGGTGCATTTCCCAGTTCAGTGGCAAGTATCCAGGAAGTTTCTTCGTCTGTTCCCTCATATCCGGCCCAATGCACTAAGTAAAGTAGTTGGCAGTGACATCTCCGGCAGTCGATCTTTGAGTCCAGGATTTCGGAAATTTCATATTCTGGTTCTCCGTTGACTAATACCAGAGGCAGAGGAAGCTGGATACGATTGGGAATGGTGTTTGGAGTTGCGGGTTCTAGTTGAGAGACATGGAATACAGGGTGCATGGATCATGTCCGGATGGTGAAAGAGTGGGTGCCAGGACGAGCGATGATGTTGAATGGTCCAAGATTCTTGTCTGAGAGCATTTTCGATGGTCGGGTCGAGCAGAAATATTTTGCTTTGATGAAAACCTGATCTCCGACTTTGGAGTCCGGAGCTAGTTTATGTCTAGCATCCGCAGGTCCCTGATATCGTTCTTGGGCATGGAAAATTTCTTCTCAGAGGAATTGATGAAGCTCATCTAGATCTATAGCATAATCCTGGGCACAGGCGGAGGAGAGATCACGCTCTGGATGTATGGAAATGTTTGGGTGATAACCCTTATTGGTGAAGAACAGTGAAACTCCGGCAGTAGCACTAGGAGCTTTGTTGTATGCAAATTTGGCCAAGGGTAACAGTTCCGACCAATTATCCTGCTGATATTGCAGTAGATCCAGAGGTATTATTCTAGGGTTTGGTTAGCTTGCTTGGTTTGTCCGTCACCTTCCGGATGATATCCGGAAGTGAAGTGGAGGATCATGTCAAGTGCTTTTCCAAGTGAATGGAAGAAATGGGAGACAAATTCTGTACCACGATCGGAAGTGACATGGGATGGAACTCCGTGCTTGGAAAACACATGAAGAAGGAATAACCGGGCGAGGTCCAGAGAGGTGATAGTGTCATATGTTGGGATGAATATTGCTTGCTTGGATAGTCGATCTATGACTATCAGAATGGCGGTGAAGCTGGAAGAATTGGGAAGTTGCTCAATGAAGTCCATGGATATAGAATTCCACGGCTTCTCAGGGATGGGGAGTTGTTTCAACAATCCGTATGGTTTGTGCCTCGGAACTTTGGCTCAGGTACAGGTCGTACAGGACTTGACATAGTCTTTGACATAATCGCGGATTCTGGGCCAAGTATACTCCCAACGGATTATTTCCAGGGTCCGGTTCTGACTGAAATGTCCGGATAGGGGGTGGTCATGCATATTCCGGAGCACTTGGAGGCAGAGGTCATTGGATTCTGGAACATATATATGGTTGTCACAATGGAGGAAACCACTGTCATCCATTGTCCATCTCGGGTCTGATGGATCCAGAAGATGACTAGAAGCGATAGGGTCATTGGGGAGGGCGGACAGAATGTCCTTATGAAGTTGCTTGACATCCATTAGTACAGCTGCCTGGAGCACCGGAATTGCTAGGTGTGATGCCCAGAGGGACGAAGCGAGCTGTTCTGTGGTAAATATTGGCCGGAGGTTGTGTGGATTAACTTGAGCGTAGTCCTTTGTTAGTTATATGATCATTCACCACATGACCTTTGCATCCAAATCCCTCACTGCCATCGACCAAATCATCTCTCAGCTCTCCCAGCACTTCAAACTTCGTGACCTTAGTCCCACCACTCAACTTCTTGGTATCAAGATAGACAGAGACCATCCTAGTCGTGCCATATCCCTCTCCCAGCGTCAGTACTCACTAGACATCCTCGAACGCTTTGGCATGGCTGATTGCAAGCCTGTCACCACTCCTATGGAGCCCGATCTTCGTCTCTCTCGATCCCAATCACCTCAATCCAATGAGGAGGTGTCCTTCATGCGTGGTGTGCCCTATCTTGCTGCTGTTGGCGCTCTGATGTATCTAGCCACCACCACTCGACCTGACATTGCCTACACTGTTGGTGTCCTTGCCAGATTCAACTCAAAACCAGGCATCGCCCACTGGCAGGCTGTCAAGCACCTCCTTCGCTATATCAAAGGCTCCATTGACCAAGCACTTGTCTACAAGCCTGACCCCCACTTCACTGAGTTGTTCTCCACATTCTCTGATGCTGACCATGGCGGTTGCAAAGACACGGGGCACTCCACTGGCGGTTATCTTGTCAAGATAGGCACTGGTGCGGTCTCCTGGAGCTCCAAGCTTCAGGGGGTCATCGCTCTGTCCACTACTGAGGCAGAGTACATCGCTGCAGTCGAGGCAGGTAAGGAGATCAAGTGGATGTGCAAACTGCTGTTGGAATTGGGTTTCCCAGTGGGCGCTTCATCTGTCCTTAGGATAGACAACCAATCCGCTATCTCTATGGCCAAGCACCCGGAGCATCATGGACACATGAAGCAGCTGGACTTGTGCTTCTACTGGCTGCGCAATGAGGTGGACAGACAGGTAATATCCCCCGCCTTTGTCCCCACTGTAGAACAACCTGCAGATATTCTGACCAAGGCATTGCCTCGAGTCAAGGTGGACTTGTTCTGTCAGATGATGGGACTTGTCCGATTAGGGGGGAGCTCTTGATTGTGAGAGGTGCACAATCAGGGGGGAGTGTTAGTTATATGATCATTCACCTCTACAGTACGCATTTCTATGTCTTTTATGTGTCTAACCTTGCCCATATCCCAGAGTCCAGTGCTTCCTGCCTCTTTGGCAACTTACTCTGGACTCTAGTCTGATCTCTTCTGGTCTCTCAGTAGCCTCTAGAAGTGGCCCACTTCATTCCCATCTCAACAGCTTCAAGTTCAGAAGAGATGTCCGACATGTTAATGTCTCCATTCCTATCTTTCTCTGGTCCAAAGTTCCTCCTCTAGTGCTCATGAAGTGTTTCTGCCAATCTGATAGATGCTCTAGCAGTTGTATTCTCTTCCTCAACTCTTTCATCGACTTCATTCCTTAGCTTGTCATCCTCCTCAGCATCCTCTACTGTTGTCCGATAGCCATGAGAAGGTCCAGCTTGAGTTTCAGTCTCCAGATCCCTAGATCCTAGTGGTCTTCCATGATTGAGGTAGGTTCAGGTTCTGCTTTTTTTCCCCCTGAGTAGGTCAGTGGGTAAAGGTTCATCCACTACTTCCAATACCATCTGCTCCTAGAACTGTCCTAGGATAGCAAGTCCCTTTAGTTTTCTCTTTTTATACCACTTGCAACTTTGTGCTATACTAAGGTGAGAGGACATTCCACTTGGACTCTTAAATATCGTCTCACATGCCGAACAAACTTTTGGATCAGTACCTTCAGCCCCCATGAAATTATGGCTGCTGAATACCTGAAGAGCAGAGCGTAAGCCAACCATGATGCTTAGATAGAGTGAGATGTCTGGGATGAGATTCAGATTAGGCAAGTACAAATCAATGACATATGCCTTGCACCGGCCATCTTACATTGACTTATGTAACATAAGGAGCAAATGATGAAAGTACTTCAATTGAAGTACAAATGGTATTGAGAGACAGTGTCAGATCAGAAAAACTGTCGAAATAACTGCTGTACAGCTAGTAAGAGACAACAAATAACAAGGTGATATCTGGGTATTGAGATAAGGATACAGGTAGTTGGCCAAGTGATGAAAATGTAGAATCATGATACAAAAAATGAGAGGTCAAGTACTTGCCTTAGCTTTGGATCTAGCCTTTTTGCTCCCTGCATTCCAGATCCCACAGCCTGTGGCACACCAAGCTCTGCTTCACTGACTCCTGGTCCCCTTGCACGTTTGGTGGATCCCTCAATGTGTAAGGCATCAGGGTGTATCTTAGCAGCCTTTCTCTTACTTCCTGCAAACTCTTCATCCCCATCATCATCTACAAGTAAGGGCATACAATTACCCATTTCAAGATAGCGCTGATAATGAACACAAGCCTCTTTAAGTTCTCCATCTTCAGGGTAGGGGTCGAGGGCAGGGTCGATTTCATCACAGATACGACACAGTATCAAAAGCATGTTTTTATATGTGACTGGTTGGAGGTCTACATGGCATCCATAGCCATCAAAGTCCTTTTCATCATGGCCCAAGAAAAGGTCCCGCAACTTAAACATCCCCTGTTGAATAACTTTATGTTGTGCAAAGTATGGTGTCATGAGGTTGGTAAAGTTGATGGTGGTCATACTGCACCTCTGCTGGACGATCTCTAAGAGTGGAAGTGTGTAGACCATCAGGAAAATGTGTTTTTGCCATAATAGGTATTTGTTACATAATATTCCCACAAGTAGCTGCTGAGAGCTACCATGAGCTGTTAAGAGTTATCATAAGCTGTCTAGCGGTACTAAGAGCTATTACAAGAAGTCATGAAAATTTTCAACTTGAAGTGTATTGTAGTATCAATATTCACTATAGAGATCCAAAGGAAATCATAAGTGCACACAGACTCATCAAAGACAACAAGGATCTACAATGAAATGTAGATCGGTGAGTGGTGGAATATGGTTCAGGTGAGTCTTATGATTCAGATAACAATCTGAGAAGCCAACCATGTCATTAGAAACTTCTACCAGAGGGCACCACTCTTGCCCTGGTCATAATAGCTACAGACAAAATGCAGCTGATACAATACTCCAGAAACAAGACAGCCTACCCAGTCTACATGACTCTAGGGAATATCCCTTGCTCTCTTTGTTGGCACCCCTCCCAGCATACTTGTGTTCTTGTTGCCTATCTTTCTGTCAGCAAGGGTGTCAGTCAGGAACTCACCAAAAAACACAAGTCCACTCGCATCCAGCAAATATTGCATGATTCAATGCGCATTGTACTAGAGCCTTTGAAGGAAGTGGGAAAAAATGGAATGGAGGTGGTATTTGGTGATGATTATGTCAGGTATGTTCACCCAATACTTGCATGCTACATAGCTGACTATCCAGAGCAATGTCTGGTTACGTGTGCTAAGTATGGGACATGCCCTAAGTGCATGGCTTCTGAGGACAACTTAGGGAAAGGAGAGGCTAGCCATAGACAAGTGCAGAGAACCACTCTCATTATCATCAAGGACAACCTTAGAGTCTCCATGTCACTCAGTAACTTTCAAGATCGTTGCAAACGGCACCTCGTCTCAGGTGCAGTCACTCGTCCCTTCTGGAACGGATTCCCACTGTGCAATATCCACCTGTCAATCATGCCAGACATTCTGCATCAGCTGTATCAAGGCATGGTCAAGCATCTGATCCACTGGTGTAGCAGTCTAATGTCAGAGAAGGAACTGGATGATAGAATTTGCTGCCTACCCCCTTGCTTCAGTGTGCGCCATTTCAAGAAAGGGTGGTCAGAACTTTCACAGGTGTCTGGGAAGGAGAGAAAGGATATGGCGAGGATTTTACTAGGGTGTCTGATTGGTAAGGCCCCATCTCAAGTCATTCTTTGCTATCACACAATCCTTGACTTTGTTTATATCGCGCAGTACCCCTCCCATGACAACAACACCCTACAGTATCTTGACGATGCATTGAAACTATTTCACGACAACAAACACATTCTCACCGATCTAAATCTAGTCCCAGTCAGAGAGCATCTCAACATATTGAAATTTCACGCCATGATATACTATGCCCAAGCAATACGAGACTTTGGAATCACTGACAATTACAATACCAAAATGTTTAAAAGGTTTCACATCAACTATGCTAAGGAGGGTTGAAGAGCATCAAACTTTCATGATGAACTTCCCTCAAATGGTACAGTGGCTGGCAGGCAAGAGAAAGTCAATATGTTTGAAAGCTATTTGGAGCATTACGAGAGTGTGGAGGACACGAATGCTGAAAAGGAGGCAGACATAGAGGATGTCCAGGGCCCCGAAGATGGGTATTTCCATTTCCAAAAGACCATTTTCCCTCAATCAGCTCTGGCCAGCATACAATCCAAACATCACTGTCCCTCCTTTTCTCATCATTTGATTGTTTACCTTAACCAGTTTCTTGATCACAGTCAAGCTATTCCTAGATCCCAACTACGCTTTACTCAGCTCTCTTTCAATAAGATTTCTGTCTGGCACTCATGTTAAGATGGGAGTGAAGTGGGCCGCTTCTAGAGGCTACTGAGAGACCAGAAGAGATTAGACTAGAGTCCAGAGTAAGTTGCCCATCTATTGAATGGTATAGTGAAGTTGTACTGTACCTAGAGTCCAGAGTAAGTTGCCAAAGAGGCAGTAAGCACTGGACTCTGGGATATGGGCGACGTATGGTAAACAAATGTAAACAGACAAGCCACAATCAAAGGGTAAGTAATGACTCGACCTAGGGACGTCCTAGGGAGATCAGGAAGTCATGTAAATAGGTAGCAAAGTGTATGGAATGATACTGTAAGTGAAATGGCATGGTTAGACACATAAAAGACATGGAAATGCGTACTGTAGAGGTGAATAATCATATAACTAAAAACTCATTCAAATTTGGATAAGACACACTTGGCAATGACATAGATGGAAGCCAGGGGTTTGACGCAGTCAAGGCTAGACCTAGACTAGAAGAGGAATAGATGATATAGACAGGTTTGATATGGTCTTAGTGGCCCATACTTCTGATGCAGAAAGCACAGAACTACGAGATGAACAGCCTCTCCACCAATTCTCCATCATCTTATGATCTGATCTACTAATTTACCAATAGGAATGAAGGTTGGACAACTATGTGTTATTTTCAAGCTACCTGAAGTATTGAAACATTTTGAAGCTGTACCAAAGACATGGCCCACACATCATCTAGCATATGTCGAGTGGTACAAGCTCTAGCTGCAATTAGACAGAGTTGTCAGCTTATACCACTTACAGGTTCTAATATTTCATAGTGATCTACTTGGAAATCTCACAATGTCTTAGATCTTTCAGATTGTTTTTTACTTAATAATTGGTCAAGTAAATTTGCATATCAGACTATATGGTAGCAGTAGTGTCCCAGTAATTGTACTTGTCGTCAGGATCACTTTTGTACCAAAGCTCTCTGGTTTTCCATTTTGCACGAGGGGGAACACTGTCAATCACTTTATGAAGACCACGGACGTTATGGTATGACAGCCCTCGCAATTCTCCAGTCCAGCTCAGATGCAAAGGGTGTAAATTTATGACTCGCACCATCCTCATCCTCCATATTAATGTCCTGGTCCTCAATGACTTCTGATCTTCCTCCAAAGAGTTTTTTCCAGCGCTCATAAAGCATGGACACTATGCATATATGCTGACCAGCAGTAGGGTGCTCCTCAGTCAATCGGTCATCATCATCATCTTGTTGAGGTGGAGGTGATAGCCAGCTGGGGGACTTGATAGGTTAGAAGGTCCAGGAGCATCCATATCGACATCGTGAGCTGGAATGAGTTGAAATAATTCTTCATGGAAACCCTCCATGACATCTTGAGGTTCCATCTGATCAGATACATCATCATCTGGCAAAAAATGTTCTTCTGGTAACCCCTCTGGTAGAGTATCAGTGTCTGGTAAGTCTTGGGACACCACCTCTTCCTCAAATTGACCAGGCATGGACAGGGCCTTCAGTTTTTCCATCTTGTACCATGTACAACTCTTGGCTGATCGCAGGTGGGCTTGTACTCCCTGTGCTGTCTTTAAGCGCTTGTGACATGCAGGGCATATAGTTGGATCATCGTGTTCAGGAAATATGTTTTCTACTGCACAGTTTGTGGCTTTGAGTGCTGAATGTAGGCTAGCCATACTGTTGGGTGATGTGTTTAGGTTAGTGGTGATACAGCTAGCAGAGGCGGGGTTAGGTGAGGCGGGGTTAGGTGGAAGGCAGGAAGCGGAAGGTGGGAGGTAACTAGTTTACTTTCCCATCGTGTATCTCATGTAATGTTGTTCGAGTCATATCCTCGAGTTTCAATGTACAGGTAAGTGTCAAGCAACAAGGAGATATGAGTAAGTAATAAGCTTAATAAAATGAGAGATAAAATGTATTATGAAGTCATGGAATGAGAAATGCTGCCAGAAGGACCAGTAGCACTTGGAGGACTGCCAGTAGGAGGATGGTCACCAGAAGAAACACCCCTAGCTTTCCTACCCCTACTGCCTTCCCTAGTGCCTCTACTGCCTCCCCTAGTGCCTCTACTGCCTCCCTGAGAGTTCTTAGTTTGAGTCCCAATCCGGTGAGCTCCAATGCTCTTATCTTCATAAGGCTCGCCCATGAACATCCATTTGAGTTCCATCATACCCTTCCAGATTGCAGCATGCTGGACGCAACAGCAGGACTTGGAGGTGGAAAGGATGGCAAGGCATCATTAGAAATGGGAGAGGTTGTGACCACTGAAGTGTTTAGTCCTTGTGATTGTTTCGCATTTGCTGCTAGCTCCACATGCCAATTGCGACAATTGTTGAAGGCTCCCAGACAGTTACAACATAACAGGTAAGCGAGCTAGAAAAATGACTGCAGATCATAGGCTGGCGCATGATCCTTCCTTTCATCCAGGATCTCATTAGCTGCAAAGGGTAGTGCCCTGTTTGCTTATTATGAGTCCGTAATAAAAATAGTAGATTCAAAAGACTTACCGTGTGCCTCAGTGTATTCATCCACTCTTCACGGTTATGCCAATCAGCAGCTGATCCCCAATCTGATGACATCCCCTGTCTCATAGGTGTCCACCCCTTGGGTGCACCCTCAGGTCATACAGGCACCACATAGGTTGGATCAAACTCTGGGATGTAAAATAGCATGTTCCCATCACTGGTATCGCAATGAAGGACACCACGTCTAAGGAAGCCATTACAATGACCTTTACAGAACCTTAATTGACAATACCAATATACAAATTGCCTGACAACTCACCAACCAGCATCCCAAGTCTCAGCAAATTCCAATATTGTCCTTCAAATCTTCCGCCTCTCGCCTCTTTTGGGCCTCACCCAGTTCATATCAATAATGTTGGTCGTGGTTAGTGTCATCTATCATCAAAAAAAGATTGCGGCTATGGTCCTGGAGTTTCCTGTGAATGGCAGCGTCATTTTGCTGCTCTACAGGGTCCCAGCAGTCGACCTTATGGATATTGTCTAGGCCTTTCACTGCAAAGACTCTAGTGCCTTTGCCGAGTATCCCTGTAATGCGTGTTTGATCAGTGTTTTTCGACAGGTGCATCGGCAAGAAAATACAAGAAAGAAGATAGTTGTGTGGGGTGAGTATAGAAGATCCAGTGGTTTGGTGTAGATGTTCCCACCTCATGTGAAGTACGATAACCGAATGCTGGGCCCACAGAGTGATATTCCAATGAACCACGAACGATCTGGTTGGACATTGAAAATGAAGTTTGCCTTGTCACCCAGCTGTAGATGCACATCATTCACCGGGTTTTGCTGTCTTCATATTTGATTTCACATACGGAGATGATGTCTTTCCATTTAATCATGGAAGAGCCTAAGACACCCTTTTCGATGAGAACAATGTCTTGACTGCGACGACCCCCAACCAGCCGACAAGAAACCCCTGCTTAGGGGAATGACTTCAATATTCTGCCGCCACCTAAAGCATGTCTTCAGCCCTATTTAAATGTTCAAGGCAAGGAACACACCGTGTTGAAGAGCTTTGCTGATTTGGCCTCAAATGTGTTCTCAGGCAAGGTTTGAGGAAGTTCTGCATACTCTTTCTACAGAAAGTTCAGTGCATTAAGCCATCCCTTTCCTTTCTCATACACTTTCCTGGCCTCCAATACACTAAGAAAATCGTTACTGTCCACTTCATCCAGATCCTTCCATTTGACCGCAACTTCTGTTGTACTAAGTGCCCACACCTCAATGTCCATGCTTGCTTGCACAACATCACACTGGCCATAGTCACAAGTCTACACCCCAAGATGAATGAAACTAAATTTGGCCTTTTAGATGACAAGCATGTAAGCGCAATTTTAATAGAAAGCACCTTGGTCTTGAACTGATTGGCGTATGTTTTAGAAAATAATTGAAACATGAATTACTTTTTTTCAATGTTTTGACAGACAAAATGAGGGGAAAATTCTATCTTCTCAATCAATATTTTATGGATGTTTGGTGAAGGAAAATGGAAAATGCCTGCAGTGTATCTTGCCAAGATTTCAATTTCCTCAAAATAAGGAACAAGACACATAGACGTGCCATTAAACTTGGGTGTAGATTCTGCTTCTCTGAGAGGCATCCTGAAAACTGAAGACATTGTTGAGGTTAGCATAGGTTGACAGTTGCTAGTAGGAAGAGATACAGAAGGAAGCAGAACAATTATAGCAGGTAAGGTAACAAGCATGGAATTCAGAAGCATAGGTGGAAGTGTGCTTAAATGTTTACACAGGGACAGAATAGACATAGATATAAAGGACATGGGCATGAAAAGAGTCTGTCTTTCTGGGGAAGGCTCATGGGATGGAAGTAGAGAGAGCTTAGTAGGAAGAGTTTCTATAGTAATGAATGGAATGCAAGAGAGGGATACATCAAATGCTCCAAGAAACAGGGTCTCCTTTTCTTCTGCTTCCTAATCTGCTAGGGATAAATGCATGAAGTCTGAGGGATCAGATGTGAGATTCCAGAGTATGGATGCTTTAGATGATGAATAAGAGTGTGAGTTGGATGGACCAGCTTCACACTTTTCCTGAATATATAGGTTCAGACTTGGAGCTACATGCTACCATGGGCCTGGTAAAGGATCTAAGTCCATACTGTTAATTAATCTGCCAGTACTAGTAAGCATTTTAGTTTGTGCTAGTACTCTCATGCTAGTAGGACCTACCTTTTTAATTGGAACTTGGAGAAGAAGTTGAAGGCAATGATAGTACTACTACTTAGGCTAGTGCTAGTAGTAGTAGAAGAGGATAGAATAATGGCAGACTGCCACTACCAGAGGAGTTCTAATAGTTATAATTTCAGACTGATGCTAGCTAATACTAAAGCCTTTATCTTAGACAACTTTACTAGAAACTCAGTAGTTGATAAAATTTAATCCTCATTTACCTCACATCACATCTGGTTCCTGCCTTGTGGTTGGTAGGAAACACTTACTTGTATAATTGTCATATTCCAATATGATTGAAAAAGGTAGCAAAATTAATTCCTGCTGATAACCTTAAGATAGTCACTATGGTAGGTTTTGGGATATGAATTGAAATAGGTAGCATGGTATAAAGGCAATGCAGTTTTTTATTTAATTCTAGTTTACATCAAGAGTATGTACTGCTTTCATGACTTAGGCAATCAAGCAATTAACCTCTAATATTAATCAGCATTCAAAACATTGGTTCAGCCATGCTTAGGTCATGCATTAACAAAGAAAGTCAGCTGCTTCATCACTAGTAAACTATTTAATAAGGATGCTCATGTTAGTTTGCTAATTTGTAATATGTAGGCTAGTACATAACACTTCCATTTGAGGTTTACCATGAGTTGTATCTGATTATTCTTGCATGTTTAAACTGTCTTATTTTACTATGTCTGAAAGTCTTAGCTTATCACATCTATCACAGTGAGTATCTCAAATATTTCCAAAATAATATATATTGAGTGAATCTTATCTATATATCTACAGAGCATTAGACACATTAGTAGTGCTAATAGTAAATATACCTCATTCAATTAAATCTTTAAAAGAATAAAAGCATTATATACTGCAGAGACCTCACAAATGTTAAGATTGTATTGCTAAATGAAGTGATACTCTGCTTCAGATGATAAAGATGCTGAAAACTCCACTATCTGAGATCTTCCCATCCACATTATCTATGCCAAGCTCTGTATGAAAGCCAGTAATAATGATGGCATATACACTAGGATAGTTGACTGGAGACAGTGAAATAAGATTATTCATTGGTACTAGAGACAAAATACATCAGTCGGTAGATGAAGTAATACAAAAAGAAAAACTTACTAAAAACAACTATGCATGATGCTCAATAAATAATAGTACATATTGTTTCCTGTATGTGCTTTTTGTGTTTGCATCTAATGGACAGTGAAAATTGTAATGAATGAGGCCTCCTGTCATATCCCGCATTCCGGACCCGGACCTATCACACGCATCATTTCCGGACTTCCGGATCTGGCCGACTTCTATCTATCGTCCAGATCCGACCTGCGTCTATCTTCCGTGCCTTATCCCTTTGTATGTTCCTCCTCCAGTTAGACTATACTCATTTTCCGTACCTCGTTTCATTTCTGCCTTTATTTTCCTATGTCTTCATCTCCGTCTTCATTTACTATTTTCCGATAGACTAGTGTTTGACTTTTCTATACACTCCGTCCACAGCCTCGCATAGCTTCGGACTGTGCAGACTGACTCTCCGTTAAGTCCTCAGTAGTATATAAACCCTGTAGAATCTTTGTACTTCCTTAGTTCGAATATTATCTTAGACTCTGCTCATTCCCTTCTCCGTCCGACTTGAGTTTCTCCTCTCGTCATCCTCCGCTAGTCTTAGGATTGATTCCTATAGACTTCTCACCTCCGCCTCTACCTCTGGTAGTCCTCCGCTGTTTCCTTTCTAGTTCGGACATCGTCCGGATTAGTCTTATCCCTCGTTCCCGAATGTCCGCCGGAATTCCCGCGCATCGGACATCGGACTCCGGACTCGTCCGACAACCTTCGGACATCGTCCAACAGCCCTCGGAAGTTAGGGGCACGTACTCAGGTAAGGGGTGCAGTGCACGAGCTGAAGCCAAGCCCTTCGGATCCGACCCTTGAGCACGTTCTTAACAACTCCACTGTATGATAGGGCTATAAACAACTCTGTAGCATACAGATTATTTTGAATGATAGGAAGAATTTTTTGTAGCTCCTTGGGTGGCTCCTCATTAGTATCATTAACTGTGTTTCTTACTGATGTGATCATTGAATGCTTGACTAGGGCCACACTTTTTATTATTCTATATATAAGACTATTTCAAACATCCTTCTGCATTCTATATATCAGCAATAAATCATCAGTACATATCTTGTGTAGGAGATAATGACAATGTCAGGTTTGCATGTAGACCTTATTATAATGCTTTTGGATTATAAACATTGGGTTGTTTTGATGAAATAGGATCTTGCTATTATTATCTATTTTTGAAGAATGTAATCTAGGTATGTTCAGTTGGCTGAATCAGTGAAGTGCAGTATTTGAAGTCTAATGCCTTAATATTCTTAATAAAGCATATGATAAAGTGCTAGCCACTTACAAATTCTCACATAACATCATACATCAATAAATCATATCTAAATTTGTACCACCTTCTAAAGGTAATAAAGTTTGGCTAGAAGCCAAGAATCTTTATTCCAAGAATAAATTCATTTTTTCATGTGTAGTAAGATGAAATATGTCATACAGTGTCTTAAAGTCAATAACTCAAGAATTCCTTCAATACTATTAATATCATTAAGCTTATTAATCATAGCCACCAGAACCTGTCAAATATTGGTCTTTCTAGTACTTCAAGATTTGATTATCCTAAGACCTTAGAGAATCTTTACTAGAGTGCTAGAAAATTAAACTATAATCTATATATACTGATATCTTAGTACTAGCTTGGTTGAGAAGGCTTGTGAGGATGTAAGTCTGTAGTTTAGTGGACTTTGAAGTGTGAGGCTCCATACTGAAAAAGGAAATTGAAATCATTAATAACATTCATCTACTATGTCACATATAAATTATATTTTGAAGTCAAATCATAATTAAAAACACTTACCTTATATAATGGCACCTCAGGATGAGACGAGTGGTCCATTATGATATCTAATTATATATGCTGACTCTTTGAGTGATGGATCAGCACTTCTATAGCATCAATTATGCAAAGAAGATAGTTGAGGAAAGGAGAAAAAGGGAGATGGAGATGGAGATGGAGAGAAAAGAGAGAGAATAAAAAACTCATTATTAGCACCAACAGAAAGAAGAGAGTTTGATATTGTGTTAAAATAGCGGCATGAGTTGTTGAAGGTTATGAGATTTGAAAGAGGGTGATTAGATTGATGGTAAACATCTCTTTTATGTATTTAGCATCTACTTCTACATAAAGAACTTTCACACCTATGATATATAGATGGAAATGACAAAGGGCTCGGTAAAGTCCATATAGTTCTAGCATTGGTTGTGAATAGCGGGCTTCTACTTCATTGAATGATAGTGATCTATATCTAGCTGATCACTTATGTTCGTTTTTATCAATCTGAGATAAGATAATCTCTGCTGCTATATAGCTAGAGTCTACTGATAGTATTACTGGTAATTCTGAGATATAATCAATTGATCTTAGAGCTGGTGCTGAGGCAACTAATTTCTTCAAGGTCTCAAAGGCTTCCTTCTGTTATTCATTTCAAATAAACTCTATGTCCTTTCTCCATAGCTTACTCAAAAGTCTTGCTAGGGTAGAATAACCTGTAATCCATATATGTACAGTACCACATAATCCTAAGAATACTTTAGCTTCCTTTGGGGTTGTCAAAGCCAGGCTAGTTCAGAATCTTATCTACCTTAGTCTTGTCAGAGATATATCCTTCAGGGGTACAAGTCCAATAATTAGGACTTCTGGGAGGCATAGCTGAATCTTGAGTGCTGAAAATGTAGCACCAGCTTCCTTTACATGATGCATGATTCAATGAACATTAGGACATGCAGACAAATAAACTTTCGTATTCCTGGATTCTCTGTTAGAACAGCAGGTTGGCCTTGCTCATCAGGGAATATGATTGTAATAGGAAGATAATCTATGAATATGTTAGCCTTGTCAGGAATTTCATCCTTGAGAACAAATGCTATGCATTTCTGAAATTCTGCAGGAGAGTTGTTGAATCTGATAGGAAGCGATGTAATGTGAAGTAATCCTAAGGGAGTCAGGAATGCAGTAAGATCCCTACTCAATGGGTGCAACTTTCTAGCATCAAATCTCCAGAATAAGTCAAACACTGTATAACATCGAGCTTCTGCAAAAGGTTCTACAAAGTTATTCAGAATTGGAGGCAGTCCTGCATCGTGAATTGTGACTTTATTCAAAGGCTGCAAATCATGAACTATCCTGAGCTTTCCATTCTTCTTAACCAATTCTTCTTCACCAGACAGAACCATTGTGATCTGTATGCAGATTGACTAGCTTCATATACTTCTGCATTGATTTTCAATTTCAGTACATCTCTATAACTTTGCTTCATATTCTTAGTGGAATTGGGATATTCTTGTATTCCCATGGAATGTGAGGAACAGTAGGAATAATGTAGGGTGAAAAATAAGAATCTTTCAAAGTACCTCTATCTGTGTCCTCAAATGCTAGTGCATCCTAGTATAGCCACATAATATGTCAAAATAGCTTTTCTTCATCAGGGCAAAGAAATCCTATAGAATTGATATTCAGAGCTTCAAGTCGTTCTGCAGTTAGTTTCTTAGTAGGGGGTACATCTGGGGGATTGGAGGATAGGGGTATAAGAGTATCTAAAGGGTCATTTGGAAATTGTCTCACTACTTGTGCTTCCTGAGGGAATACTCCTGGAACTGGTCATACTTTCTTATTTACTTGCTTATACATTGTAAATGAGCTTGTCTTGTCTAAGCTATCCTGCTTATTGTCAGAAACATCCTCAGGGGTTCAAAACATTCACTCACTCTCTCGTTCACCATTGGTCATTGTGTATATTGAGTCTCCAGGCTCAAAATGATTTGAAATACTATCAGTCCACATGGTTACTTCATCTCCATCTCCTCCTTCTCCTAAATCTTCTGCTAGTAGGACATCTGTTTCACTACTTTCCTCCCTATCCTCATCGGGATCTATAAGGGTATTATTGACTCGCATGTAGAGTTCATGTTGTGGGTTCTTGACTTCTGGGTATGGCATTTCTGCCAAAATTGATGTTGCCAAGGGCATAGTCTTAACTACAGGTTATGTATACCCTAGTGTCTGTCTAATGTTTATAGGGGAACTAAGCTTGTCAAACTTAAGCTAAATAGTTGCTACAGGCTGGTGATTGTCATATTGTGTTCAGCCGGTGCCTTTTCTGAACTGACTTGCACATAGTCTAGGTGATGGTTGCTTTGAATGATGTATGAAATATGGGTGTTTGAAACTACTAGATAGGCTGTAGGTAGCTTGGACTTTGTTGAAATAAGTGCTCTGATTTGTTGAAATATTATGAATGTTAATTGTTTATAGAAGGCTTGTAGGGAAATGTAATGTATTGAATATGGGCCCTATTGAGGTGCCAGAATGTCCAGGGACTTAGTAATTTTTCATTCTAACAGCTCTAGGCCTTCAATCCAACAGTCTTTCAATAAATCAATTTTAGATTCATCATATACATATGTGTTAATATCAGGTACATAGGAATCTTCAACTGGGGAACTTCCTTCATATCAAAAAATGATTTCCCATATCAAAAAGTAAATGAAAACCAAAAATAGAACTGATTGCATGACATATAAGTACAAAAATTGATCAATGTATTTGTAGTTATGATGCCAAAAATAGTCTCATTCAAAGCAAACCTTCAGAGAAGGTCATAAGTACAAAACAGCATAAGCAAGCACTACTGTCAGGACACAAATCTATGTAGAGGTATGTATGTACGAAAAAAGAACTGGAATATATATATAAATGAGCCAGGTATAAGGATGAGTGGAAGGAAAAACTTACCCGCCCTACTCCAAAAAGTATGGACCTTCACACTTCACATTGAAGCAATGCTCATGCTAGGATTCTGCAACATATAAAAGGTAGTTAAGGCTGGAGTCAGCCATGACACCAGTACTATGGAGATCTTTGAGGAGGTAGTTCTGAAGGAGTTTGTAGATGGTATCTTCATCGGGGAGGGAAAGAGTGAGGAGGTCATCAATGGTATCGGCGAGTTGAAAGCTTCCATGGAATCGGAAGATGCCCAACATGGTGTGGAGCACAGCAGCTTCCTCCAGGGTGAAAAGTGGGTTAGATGATGGGCAGAGTTGAAGGAAAAACATAGCGCAGTTAACGATAGTGGGAATGCAGTGCACTCCATCCTCCATCAATAACAATAATAAAGATGTCGGTGAGCAGACACTCCTGCAATTGGACTGGGGTGAGTGTTGTGTGGATGAGCTGAAGGATGATGTACATGGACACGCGCATGTTCTTAAGTTCATAGAGTCAGGAATGGAGGTGGGTACATCCGTGCAGAATGAACTTTGGATAGTTGAAGATGTCATAGTGGAAGACTTGCAAGCTCAAGTCCCAGCTCACATGTTCCCTGCACAACCATTACACAGGGTAAGTACTGGCAGGCTCCAATGATGTGCTGAATGAGTGCACGGTCATAGTCACCTCAGAAGGGCAACAGGTCATATTGAATTTTGTCAGAGGTGAGGCCAAAGGCAACGGGCATGTTACAAGGGACAAAGTCCATGGACTCGTCCTGTTCTTCAAGCATGTCAAGAGTTTGGTAGAATTTGAGGGCAGGACAAGTTGAGGCATGATATTGCAGGAGAGTGTGTTGGTAAGGTCACAGGTGAGATAAGCAAGCCACTGCATGGCAGTGGTGTGCTTGGAGATGGTGGTGTCATCCTTGTCCTCAGCTGCAAAGGAGAAACAGTCCGATGAGTTACTCTCATTGTCCAAGACTAGAGTGTCTTCATCTTCATTGTTAGTGGCTTCAATAGTGCAAGCATTCATACTATTAATAAAATAAACTTTGGGTAACTTAACCCATTCATCTGTGAGTCTGGTGTTGGCATCACTAATGGACTTGATCTTCAGGATAAGGTGAGCCAGGGAGTTGGGAGACATGATGATGAGGATGGGGGGTGATGAGGCAGGCGAAGCCTGTGGGAGTTTCCTGCATAGGTCAATTGTACCTTCTTTCTTCAGGTGATCTTTGGTCCACCAGGCCTGAGTTTCAGTGGAAAACATTTCCTGTGTCTCACCAGGCATGATGAAACATGGGTACAAGAGATGGGCAGCATCGTCAGATGAGAGGAGGAGTTCCTTTAAAAGGTTGTAGTTAGTAATATCGAATATTAGTGGGGTACTTACTGGTATGTCCAAGTTGGCGGGAATTTCTGGAAGAGAGGTGATTTCCTCGTCTGACATGTGGACGAGGTCGCTGCCTTTGATAGAATGTGCTCTAAGAATATTTGTGGTGTGTCTAAATGTGTGATGTCTGGGATACACAAATCTGATGTCATGTGTCATTCTGGCATACTGCAACATTTCTGGATTTGGTTGAAAAAGTATGACAGCTTGGCTAGGGGGCATTGTGATTGATAGGTTTGGGTTGTTCATTTTTCTCAAAGTCCCTTCTCCTTTTATATCTTCACCTGTATCTATAGTGTGTACTGTACTATTTATTAAGTCCATACAATTGTCTACCATTTTTGCGATTTGTTGAACTATGTGAGACTGAATTTCCATGAGCACACATCTGCAGTCCTCGTGACTTTCTATATTTGGTACCACTAAATTAACCAATTCTGAAGAAATAGTACTATTTTTAGATACTTCTTGATGGAACACTTTGATACTGGAAGTTGCTGAACATGTAATGTTCCAGCTCTTTGCCCCACTTTCTTGGTTCTTTCCGAATTTGGAAGGTACCACTAATACTTTGGACACTTCCTCATTAGTGGGGCTATTCCCAAATTCTAACCAAGTGCCTGTAGGGCATTCATATATTGATACTATATTATGTATTTGCCAGGGTCTTCCCAATAAAATGTCAAATGGCACCACTTCACCTACATAAATATCAGCTATTGTGAGAACTGATCCTATACTAATAGGAAATTGTGATACAAGCCCCTTAAGCAGCCCCTTTCTGCCATTGCATCATGTAATACAAGTGTCTTACTTTGGTTGATCGGAAGTTTTATAAACTTCTCATACATGTGCTCCGAAACTATATTTAGTTGGCTTCCGGTATCTATTACTGCTTTCAGACTATTTCTGTGAATTCTGATCGGAAGTTCTATCAGCACTTCTTTCATCTGTGCTTCGGAACTTCCCATAATCCAGAAACCTTTGGCTTCTGACTTGTTCTTTTTCACAGAGTTATACACCAAATGTATGTCCCTTCATTGTCTTCAGCTTAATTGACTCAGCCAAAAGTCCAGCTAATTCTTTAGATACCCCTAGGATCACACCTGCAGTTATTTCTACCTGTACATTTAATTATTCTATTCAGAACTAATTTTGCATTGATACCATCAGTAAGTTCTGATCACTGGATTCCCATTTTAGATTTGATCACATGATCGGAAGGCATATGAATCTTTGTCCTTTCTTTTGGTATATCCTTGATGTCATTCTTTCCTTGCTTTCTTATTGACTCATTTATTTTTCTTTTTGTCAGTGCATCATCTTCCATGACAACATCATCATTGTGTGTGTCATACTGCACTTCCTCCTTAACAATAGGTGTGGGCATAAATTTTTTACATGTCCATATTCTCTTAGGTTCGTTTTTCTTTTGTTCCTTTTCTACTAAGTCTGGATGCACTACAGGCCTTAATGGTATGTTTTCTTCGTCCTCCCTAGGAAATCCCAGGGATTTCCTTACTGATTCATCGATCTTTCTAGATTCCACTATCTTAAACTCATGGCCTTCAGGCACCATTGGTTTGGGCAGAAGTGTCGGGTTTGGGTGTTTGGGTGTTGGAAGTTCATTGGAAGTTTTTGGAGGCTGTGACCTCAATACTGGTGTGTACTGTCTGTCTCCCTGTAGCTCATATCTCTGATGTTGTTCTTTTTCATTGCTTCCTGCACATCTCTTCCCATTATTGGGTAGACACTGTCTTCTTAGATAAATGATCTATAGATAAACACCTATAAAACCAAATATTTCCATGGTCAGTAATTCAGACAAATACCAATGGCTGATAATGTGGTCGTTCATAGGTGGCTTTCTTATGCTCCTAAAGTACAATCAGTACAATGAGTTCTGTACAAGGGTTGGTAATCAACAGTCAATCCAACAGTATGGATATGAAACACAGTGATCAGAGAAACAAGACACAGTCAGTCAGCGATCAACAACAACAACAACAAAATATCAGGAAGCACAGTCACTCTAACAATATAGATATGACAACAAAAACACAGATACTCTTCCTAACACTTCACACAGCAACAATGATTCATACACAAACTTAGTGCAGCAAGTTGTGTGGAGTTACAATGTGAGTCCCCCTCAATACAAACACAGGTGAAACTACTGCTAGACCTAGTCAAGCCTCTGTAGCACTCTTAGCCTAATATTGAACCTGCTGTCAAGGAACTCACAATGAGTATTCAAACAGACTCAGGAACGGGCAACCTTGGACTTCAATACCAAGTCTCTTTTCAATAACTAAAGTCTAACTTGCAATAACTACCCTCGATCAGTATGACATACAGATGTATGAGGTCAGGTATCACCGTCAACACCTAAAGTCTCCTCACAAGACTATTCTAAGTCTTCAGTGGACAAAAGAGACAACACCAAACTTCTGGGTAAGAATGAGACTGAAACTTTGGTACTTGAGAGAAAGTTGATAGGTCAAGACAATCAACAAAACAAGACCGCTACAACAGAAATACTAACATGTTCTCGAAGACTGTTAGCAATAACGATCACAACAAACAGAGACAGCGATCACAGAGATGGTTAGCACACACAGTTACCAACATACCACACACTTGAGACAGAGACAGAGAGAAAAAGAAAAAGAAAGAACAGTGAAACAGAGACACAATCACAAAGAAAATCACAGAGAGAGACACAGACAAAGACACAAAAAGAAATAGAAAAATTCAGACAGACAATCAGGAGAAAACAGAAAAAGAAAAACTAGTCTTGCTAGTCATCAGACACAGTGAGCTCAAGGTATGTGCTAGATGTTCAGCACAGTGAGCTCAGAAGTGTGCTGCTGGTTGTTGAGTACAGTGAGCTCCAACCTTGAACTTCACTTGCTGGATGCTGATTCACACTTCACTCACAATTTTATTCTGAGAGCAAAAGGCAATGGGGGATTGCTTATTTTTATTCAGCAAAAACCAGCTCCTTATATAGACAAATTAGGTGGCTATACTACTAGTTTCAGTTTCTCGCACTTAAAGTTGTAACTTTAGTTTGATAGTACTAAGTTGCACAGTATCTTTGTGTCAAAAGTAAATATTCATAACTCTAGTTGGTATATTGATGAGTCAGCAAGAGCTGTGCATGGCCCATGGGTCAGGTGATCCCTTGATGACTCAGCTAGAAAAGAGTGAGAAATGATTACATAATGTGTGCATATATGTTTGGAATCTGTGGCTGATAAATTATTTGGTAGCGTAATGACATAGGGTGTGTATTTAGTGATTTGTAACCTTTCTCACAGGGTAACCTTATGCAAACATATTTTTCACAGTCACCTGATATGCATGAGAATCTTTCTGAGTCATCTTCATGGCTGACTAAGCAAAACTCATTGCAGATTTGAATGTACAAAAATATTCAGTCTGCTCATGTACAAACTCGTAAAATGAAAAAAATAGCGAAAAATATTCCCTTAGCCTCAGTTTGACTTCAGATCAAGAGAAAAAAATGTTCATAGTGATATTCTGGGGTATAAGGCTCATAGGAGAGTATTACTGGTCCATGCACCGAACCAGTTGGTGCAGGTCATCTAGTGGAAAGTGAGAAATCAATCATCCCCAATTGCAAATTCTGGGGGGGGGTATATCAAGAACTAGCTAGGCTTGGTTCATCTTCTGTATTAGGGAAAGGGTATCGTAATGGGTCAGTCATGATATGGTTCTGAGGCAAAGGCAGAAGTTCTGCCAGAAAATCTTCCTGCTGAATATCCCGTAGCTTTTCTTCTATCTTATCGAGTGCACAGTTCAAATCTTGTGCTGTTATGTATATGCATTCACATGTAGGACACCTCCATCTAAAAAGGTATGCACCCCTCATTCTGTCTCCATGGTACGGTTGCAAATCTACCTGATAATGTGGGTCTCCATGTGGATGCATTTCTCTTGCATGCCATTTAAACGAACTTCCTAACCGATCAATCTGACTTTCAGCTATAGTCAGCTGGATTCAAAAGTGTTCTTCATTTGAATATATCTGACCAAGGTGAAGGTATTGGGTAGGTAGGAGGCCAGGTTCAGGCTGAGGGTTTGCCTCCAAGCCTTGCTCAACTCATGTTGCACGATTCATTGTTCTCCAAGACAAATAGTGGTACTTGCACAAATGTCGTCCTCAACAATCTCCAGATAACCAAAATGTTTGCTCACTAGGATGTATAGAGCAAGTGTGTAAATAGTGTACAAAATAAGGTCCAAGACTCGCATAGCTAGTTACAATTTGGTGTGGTACGTGTTTGGTCAATGAGAATCTATCTCATGTAAGTATACAGAATGCAGATAGTGAAAGGATGATATATGACCAAGGAGGACTAACAAATCGCTAAGAAAAAGGGAGTATTTGTTAACTAGATTTCAGACAGAGGACCCATACCCCTAACAAGGCTCAATAGTTCATCATAGTGGTGATCTCAAGAGTTTCGTACCAAAAATTCACCTCCAAGTTCCTCAACACTATTTCCAAAGCTCTCCATTCCTTCCAACTGCTTCTGAAAGTCTTCAAGGGACCGCATTATTGTGTCTGGTTCCATGGCCTTGAATGTTCTAAGGTGCTTGGTGTGCTTTTTGCATCAACGTGCAAGGCAAAGATGCATGGGAAGGGAAATGATGTCAACAGGCAGGGTAAGGCGAACGGGTGGTGGAGCATAGGGATCATCATGATCGTAACCAAGTGGAGTGACATGAACAACTAAGACATCCTTGTATTGCATCACCACCTCAGAGATCTGGCCAGCGAAGAATTGATGGAAGCGGGATTGGTCTTCCAAATGCACAATATTGCCGAAAGGAATAGAGGAGTGGTAACTGCAACATATCTTCTGGTACGTCCAGCTGCGGTCCAATATGCAAGTGTATGAATCCGGCTTGGTGTGAATGATAGGGAACTTGTGGGATAAGTCCACAAATGACTTGGGTTGGCGGCGGAAAAGCATAGTTAAAGAAAGAGAGGAGTGATTTGCAGCCAGAAAGAAAAAGAGTGATATTGAGCAGCACTGTTGTGTGCCAGCAGAAACTGAGGAACACCTCTAAATTTTGGTGTCCTATATATGAAAAGTTGAACAGGGTCTTCAGGGATCAAAATATTACTATACTAGGTGAAGTTAAAAGTCCCTGTGATCCAGCCCCCAATGAATTCTAAATGAAAAGGGCGCTGTCTCTTCTATTAATGCCGCTAGGGTTTTAAGGTTTTTAATGTTTGCATTCTTGCTGTTGCCAGAATTAAGGTTCTGTCATTAATTTAGGTTCCGGCTCTATTAATCGCCTTTCAGCGCGCAGTAACCAGTGAAATAATTGGTAACATGTGTGACAGTGTCTTCTTACAAGTCACTTGTATCCTAAATCCCATAACACAATTATAGTCTGTAAATATCCGGAAAATAGAGTAGAATGAGAGCAATGTATGTGCTGTATGAATACAGCTGAACAGGTTTCTTACAATAACTGTTCTTCAGCAGACATACTATTCATTACAAAGAAAAACTTTGGGGAAGATAAGAAAACTAGTCTAATGAGAATGTTACCCACGATTGGACTTCTATCTTTTCAATTTCCTTCAGATGGGCTTCTGCGTTCTGGGCCCGTTGTTCTAGGATAGCACAATTTGCGCAAATCCAGTTAGGAAAATTTGGTAAAGTATCCTGCTCTTCTGGATTCAATGGGTCTGTAAGATATGCATTCCCAGGTTCCAACAAAATGTCCTTGCTTCCTTCTGATTGGGTGTATTTTTCCAGCATGTGGCCTATCCAGACAGCTGTAATATGGAGCAAGTTAGTATGAGCTTTCTGGCGCCATGCTTTTAGCTGCTGTGGAGAGTAGCTGGCTTCTCCCTTGCTATTCAACTGGTCCATCAGATTCAGTGAAAAAGTGTTTCTCTTCAAGTTCTTCAACTCCTTGAGAGAGTCTCCTAAATTGGTGTGCGTTTCTTGATATGTATGGTAACAATCTAAAGGCAGCGATTCCATGATGGGATATTGTACCATCCATTTCACTTAATACATATGATCCTCCCTGAGTTCGCCGTTCCACTTTATAAGGACCAAGATAGTGGGGTTTAGTCTTTCGGTTCAGTTCCTTTTCTATCCGAGTGTTACATACAAGTACTAGATCTCCTGGTTGATAGGCTTCCCATCTTAATCGCTTCGAATATCTTTTATCAAACTGCTCCTTTGATTTAAACCAAGCTTTCTTCAATGTCTCTGCTGCTTGCTCTAAGTCTTCTGGATGTTATTCAAGCTGGCGTATTCGAAGTGCTAACAATTCAACTGAAGTCATTCCACCCTTGAAACCATCTACCATAAATGTAGCTTCTGCTAAATCAAATGGCAAAACTGGATGTACTCCATGAACTAGGTAGAATGCAGAAAATCCTGTTACCCGACTTGTGGTAACTCGGTCCGCAAATAAAGTTTGGGGGATCTTCTGAGGCCATTGCATAAGGTTTTCATTACATGCCTTTATTAATGCTTCTCATAATATGAAATGCCCTCTTTCAACAACTCTGTTAGCCTGAGAGTTATATGGTGAAATTGTGACATGTGGAATATTGACTTTCTGCATAAGGGCTGAAAATGCTCCCTGTACTTCTGGACTGTTGTCAGTAGTTATTTGCCCAATAGCTCCGTACCTGCAATAGAGATCTTCCCAAAAGAATTTGCTAAGAGCCTTGGCAGTAGGTGTTCTTAGAGGCCGTCCTTCTACGTATTGTGACAAGTCATCCCGAGCCAATACAATATATTTGAATTCTTGAGCTGGGGGTATATGTATGATGTCAATGTAAACCTTCACAAAGATTGTAGATGGGGTAGAAACTGTAATAGGAATGTGCATTTTTGTGGTGCTCCTGATTTGACAAGGGTGACACAATTGCACATGATGCCATACATCTGAAAATAAATAGGGCCAGAAGAATCTAAGTCATATAGTGTCCCATGTGGCAGCTTCACCCCTGTGGCCAAGGTCTTCATGGGCCTGGTGCAGTATAGTCGCGCGCTTTTCCGGATCAAACACTACTAATAATGGTGGTCTAGCCTGCACTCGCTTATACATTTTCCCATTCTGCACAAAGAATTTGACAGCCTTCTTCAGAAACCTCTTCTTTGCCAAAATACTTGCAAATGAAGGTGCTTCTAGAGTAGTTAGGAACTTGAAAATTTCCTTCAGGTTCTGTTCCTGAAATCTTGTTCCTATGAAAACTGCAGGAGGCAATGTTACCTTTTCCTGAGGTGGTACAGTAGTTCAGAAGCATGCTTAAGATACTCCCATATACAATGCTAAATCATCCAACCAAGAATCATCCTGATCCTCAATACTTTCTCCTTCTCCTAAACCTCTCCAAGACAAGGCATCTGGTCCTTTGAATCTAGTAGCTGGGACATGGATAAGTTTGAAGTCAAACAAGAGAATTCCTTGAATCTACCGATTGATAGCTGCATTTGGCTGAAGGTCAGGTTCATTAAGCATTCCTTTGATGTACTTAGCATCAACTTCCACATGAAGAACTTTCACACCGATAATATAAAGACAGAAATGACAAAGTGCTCAGTAAAGTCCGTATAGTTCCAATTTTGGTTGTGAATAGCGGGCTTCTACTTCATTAAATGATAGTGATCCATATCTAGCTGGTCACTTACGTCCATTCTCATTATCCTGAGATAAGATTATTCCTGCTGCCATATAGCTAGAATCTACTGATCAAGTTACTGGCAAATCTGAAGTATAGTCAATCAATCTTAGGGCAGGTGCTGAAGCAACTAGTTTCTTCAAAGTCTCAAAGGCTTCCTTACATCTTTCATCCCAAACAAATTCTACATCCTTTCTCCATAGCTCACTCAAGGGTCTTGCTAGGGTAGAATAGCCTGGGATCCATATACGTACAGTACCACACAATCCTAGGAATGCTCTAGCTTTCTTTGGAGTTGTTAGATCAGGCCAATTAAGAATCTTATCTACCTTTGTCTTATCTGGAAGACATCCTTCAGGGGTACAGGTTTGTCCGATGATCAGAACTTCTGGTAGGCACAATTGAATCTTAAGTGCTGAAAATGTAGCACCAGCTTCTTTGACATAATGCATAATTCAATGAACATCTAGGGCATGAAGCCAAATGAATTTGCGTATTCCTGGATTCTCTGGCAGAACAGCAGGTTGGCCTTGCTCATCAGGGAATATAGTTGTAGGGCCTTTGATAGGAGGATCATTTATGAATATGTTGGCCTTATCAGGAATTTCATCCTTAAGAACAAATGTCATGCATTTCTGAAATTCTGCAGGAGAATTTATGAATCCAGTAGGAAGCAATGTAATGTGAAGTAATCCTAAAGGTGTCAGGAATGTAGTAAGGTCTCTACTTAATGGGTGTAACTTTCTAGCATCAAATCCCCAGAATAAGTCAAACACTGTATAACATTGAGCTCCTGCAAAAGGTTCTATGAAATCATCAAGAATAGGTGGTAATCCAGCATTGCAAATTGTAACCTTGTTCAAAGGCTGCAAATCCATTCTTCTTGACCACACAGAACCATCATGATCTATATGCAGATTGACTAGCTTCATATACTCCTGCATCAATTTTCAGCTTTAGTACATCTATAACCTTACTTTGAATTCCTGGTGGAATTGGGATAATCTTGTATTCCCATGGAATATGAGGAACAGTAGGAATAATATAGGAAGAAAAGTAGGATTCTTTCAGAGTACCTCTATCTGTGTCTTCAAAAGCCAATGCATCCTGGTGCAGCCACATAATGTATCGAAACAACTTCTCTTCTTCAGGATGTAAGAATCCTTTAGAATTAATATTCAAAGCTTCAAGTTGTTCCACAGTAAGCTTCTTGGTAGGAAATATGTCTGGAGGATTAAGAGATAGGGGTACAAGATTTTCTAAAGGGTCGTTTGGAAACTGTCTCACTATCTGGGCTTCCTGGGACTGGACGTACTTTCTTGTCAACTCGCTTATACATTGTAAATGAATTGGCATTCTCTGAACTAGCCAATGGGTAATTGAAAGAGTTGTCAGGGGTCCAAAACATCCCTTCATTCTCATGTCCATCAAGGGTCATTGTCCATATTGAATCTCCAGGCTCAAAATGGTCCGCAATGCTATCAGTCCATATGGTTACCGTATCTTCATCATCACTTCCTAAATCTTCTACCATTGCAGAGTCATATAGTTCTGCACTTTCTTCTCCAAAATCTTCATCTTCTTCAAGGGTATTGCTGGCTCGTGCATAGAGCCTGTAGCTTGGTTGCATGAGATCCAAATGTTGCATTTGGGGTGACATCGGTTCCTCGGATCAGTTCTATATTATAGGTGTGACTCGTTGCTAGGTGTAAATTGTGTGAGACTAGGTTGTCAGGCAAGGTTAGATGTTGCAATATGTTCTAGGCTCACGGGCAAGTAGTCTCTGTTTCGCACTTGGTATATTCTTGGCAATGTGTCTCTTACATATATATTTGTGGAAAGATTGCAAAATTTGGCTATCAAAAACTGGTTTTTCAGGCTTCAATGCCTAGGAAACAAAAAGATATTGTATACTATGTCCAGACTAGACTTAGGTTGAAAATATCTGTGATAGGCACTTAGTCAAAAATCCTTGCAATAGATTGACACTAATATTTTAATAGACTCTTGATTTAGATTCAAGGCTTAAAACAGGGAAAAGAAAAATCAAACACTGTCTGATTTCTGTAAGGCTAGTACTAGGTATATGTGCAATACACAACAAATCTTATGTGAAATCACAACTGTAACAAACAGAAACTAACATATTCACACGTCATAAGAAAAGACAGGCACGAGAACGATAAAGATTTTCATAATTATACAAAAATAGCGCTACTTTGAAGACAGACTTCAATGACAAACACAAACATATTCAATCCAGGCACGCAAATACAAGTACAAATAGACGCAAAAGCTAAACGAAAACTTCAAAATCGACGATTGAATCATACAAGTACATAGAGTTGTGTGAATACAAGTACAAGTAGGTACAAATGCAAACAAATGACATACAACTTTGACAAGCAGTCAGAAAGAAGTTCTGGACATGAATTCCTAAAATGAAAAGACAGAATGCTGAGATTATTTGAAATAATAAATAAAAATAGGCACATACCTCCTATTCCAAAATGTATGGGCCAATGTGCCAAGTGTTGAAGCAACGTTGGGCCTGGGACTTGGCGGTACACAACAAGTAGTTAGAGCTGACATTTAGCATGACACCAGTACCACAAAGGTTGTCGAGAGAATAGTTCTGGAGGAGTTGGTGGACAATGTCCTCGTCTAGAAGGGATAGTGCAAGGAGGTCATTGATAGTGTCAGTGAGTTGAAAATAGGAATAGAAACGGAATAAACCCGACGCAGTGTGAAGCGTCGCAGCCTTGTCGATAGTGAACAATGGGTTAGATGTGGGACACATCTGCAAAAAGAAAGACACCCAATTGATGTTGGCGGGGATGCAGTGCACTCTGTCGACAATCATGAAGATAAGTGAAAGGAGTGATTCCTGTGACTGAATGGGAGTAAGTGTAGCGTGCATTAGCTGAAGGATCGCACGCATGTTCTTCAACTCGTACAAATGAGTATGAAGACAGGAGCGTCCATGCGGGACAGTTTTGTCGTAGCTGGGTGTATCATAATGGAAAACAGAGCTAGGGCGAGCGGTATGAAAACCAGCGAGCTCAAGCCCTAGCTCATGTACTGCCTGGTCAGCCATGGCCTTGGCCAAAAGTTTGCATGCACCCATTAGTCAGATGATGATCCTGGCGTCATAGAGTCCAGCGAATGGAAGAGGGTCATATTGTAGCTTCTCCAACATGAGTCCGAATGTGATGGGAGTGTTACAAGGGAGTGTGTCCTTGGATTCATCGACCTCGTCCAACATGTCAAGAGTCCTGTTGGATTTGAGGGACGGGACGAGCGAAGGAATTGTGCAATGAGATTCCGGGTTGGCGAGGTCTTGCGCGAGATGTGAGAGACAATGGTAGACTATCATCTGAGATGGGAGCATGAGTGCATCGTTGTCCTCCCCATCAGACAGGGAGGAGGATGAGTTGGTGGACATGGAATCATCTGAGGTGTCTTCATTGTCACGGATACCTTCTGCATTGACGTCTCCGCCAGAGGTTTCCTTCGTAATGTTAGTCCAGCCTTCCGCGATCGGAAGACTCACAGGTTTCAACGCGGGTGCACGTGACTGAATAGAGGGAGTGGGAGGAGGAGTAGGTGGAACATTCCTGCACATGGAGTCTTCATCGTCAGTTTCTTCTTCTTTCTTCAATCTCACCTCACCTCTCTTAACTTCCGCAGTAGCGCTAAAGTTGTCCTTCGTGTCTTGAGGAGGTCAGAGAAGGAGGGAACATTGGATCCGAGGGTCAGATGTGAGGTTAGGAAGTTTTGGGTCCGGAATGTCTGGAAGCTTCTCGATATCCAAGGTGGACATGTGGGTTAAGTCCTCAAAACTAATAGTTGGGAGAGGAATGGTCTTACTGTAGTACGTACAGAAATCTGTATCGTAGCCAGGAAGGAATGGACCACTAGTTATACGGCAGGCAAAGGCCATGGGAGTGGGTGAACGAATTGATTGAGTTTCCAAAGGAAGCTCGATCATAGGGATATTAATATTCCCATATTGGGAAATCAGCTTGGGTTCAGCAAACTTCGCACTGATAACTATACTAGGTAAAAATTCACCCATGTGCCTTGCTTCTTCTCTCAACTCCTTGTACTGAGAGCTGTTGAGAACTAAGTAATCAGCGTGATGGTTCCCGTTGATCAAGTGAGCATTGAGAACATTGGCAGTGTGCCTAAACACATGATATCCAGGGTGTGTGAAATGCACGCTATGTGTGGTACCGGCATACTGGGACATTTCCAGATTAGGCTGGAAAAGTGTAATAGATCGGCTAGGAGGCATGACATATGGGTGCTTTGACTTGCCGACTTTTTCAGATTCTTCTTGCTCCTCTTTTATAGATTCTGGTACTATAGGGCTGTCTAGATTATGTAGAGTACTATTTATTAAATCTAAACAGCTTTCTACCATTTTTGATACTTGTCCGACGATATGTCCTTGCATTTCTCTTAGAGTCCGCCTACAATCTGCATGTATTGCATCATTTGGTATTACTAAACTATCTGGACATACAGTACAAGTGTTTGTACTATTTTTAGCTACTTCTACATAGAACGTGTTATCTTCGGTACCTTGGGAACATGTGATGTTCCAGGTGTTTGCACCGTTGTCCTGGGTCTTTCCGGTTTTGGAAGGTGTGACCAGGACTTCGGATATCTGATCGTTAGAGGGGCTATGTCCAAATTCTAGCCAAGTCCCTGTATGTCGTTCATGTATAGACACTGCATTATGTATTTGCCAAGGTCTACCTAATAGAATATCAAATGGTACCGAGGCTCCTACGTAAATTTCAGCAAAAGTAAGTACTGAACCTATTCTAATAGGAACTTGAGATACAAGTCCCTTGAGATGACCTGTGCTGCCATTTGTGTCATGCAGTGTTAGCGTTTTGCTTCTATTGATGGGAAGCTTGATGAAATTCTCATATGTTTCCTCCGAAACTATATTTAGCTGGCTACCAGTATCTATTACCGCTTTGAGATTGCACCCGTTGATCATAATCAGCAATTCTATTAACACTTCTTTTGCCTTTGCCTTGAAATTTTTCGACACTCGGAAACTTCCAGCCTCAAACTCATGTGCTCTATGCATGTCATACACCAGGTGAACGTCCCTCCTACTTACTGTTTTAGGCTTAATTGATTCAGCCAGCAACCCCGACAGTTCTTTCGATACTCCAAGTATCTCTCCCACGGTAAGTTCCACAGGTACATTTAGAATTCTATTTAGAACCAACTTGGCGCTGATGCCATCAGCAAGTTCTGACCTTCTTATTCCCGATTTAGATTCTATTAACAGATCATTTGCCTTTTGAACCTTCGCGTTCACCTTAGGTGTGTCCCATGTCATTTCTCTTTCCTTTGCTTGTACTAATTCTCTGAACTTTCCCTTTTGCAGGGCATCATCCTCCATGATGACGTCATCATCTTACACATCGTATCGCGCCCTCTCTTCCTTATTTGGAAGTGGCGCACTCTTCTCAAATGCTCCGCTCCTCCAAGGTTTGTTTCTCTTTTCTTTTGTTTCTTTTGTTTCTGGAAACTCTCCAGATCTTACTGGTAAGTTTTCCTTTTCATTCCTTGTGTTCCCATGGGGAACTTTCACTGACTCATATATCTTTCTAGGCTCCAACACTTTAAACTCACGAGCCTCAGGTACTGTTGGTCTACCCGGGGGCTCCAAAACTTTTACCGGCACCATTGTCTTTGGCGGATCGACGGTGGGAGGCTTAGTTAACTGTTGCCAGGCAACAGGTGCGTACTGCCTCTCTCTCCTCAATTCATAACACTGATGTTGCTCTTTTTTTAGTTCCACTCTTGTGTCTCATCCCTTTGGGGGATACACTCCATCAAAAACTTCATTCTGCCGACGCATTCCTTCCTTCTCAGTCCGCACTGCCAGGTAAGTTTTTCTTATTTCTTCTTCATCATCATCCCTACTAACATAGCCCAAAGCCCAACAATTTTCCAGGTCTTCTGATTCATATTCACCCGCGCTCTCAGGAGCTTCCTTCCACATAACAAAGTGAGTTCTCACTGATCGTTTCCAATTTTCATATGCCTTTACTAATGTTCCTGTTCCCCATGTTCTTAGGGGTACTCCTTCTGGTCTTACAAGGTATCCTCCTTGTTCCATCCACATCAAGGATCTGTTGGTAAGTAATTTTTCTATCTCCGGGCACCTTAACACAACATGATCCTTTTCCCATAGCCATAACATGTTACCCCTGTAGGATAGGGACTATAACTATAGTTAGGGGTAGTAGGTTTATTACCAGTAGTAGTACTATTGTTTGAATTCACATTGTTTCCCTCCTTTTGTGTGAATCTGACTGCAGGAAATCTTGAGTCCCTAACTCCCATGTAATGTTCTTTTCTTCTTCTTTCTGAGGGGCTTCCAACAATATCTCTCACTGCTGGATCAGAAGGAATCTTTTCACTTGGTTATACTTCCCCTTGAACTTCGTAGGACAAGTGGGAAGAAAACAGGTACAGCAGGTTGTGCAGGTTGACCCAGTGCTGGGTTAACTGGTTGGATACTCATAATAACAAGGGATGTTGAGCAATGTGAGAGTGTGTAAGTTGATACAGTAATAAGACTAGTCTGAATATACTTGGTTAGTTACAAACTTGAAAAATACCAACCCTTGCGGTGGGCTCCAGTAATGTCTTCTTAGATAGATGATCTATAGATAACCACCTATAAAACCAAATATCTCTATAGTCAGTGATTCAGACAAATACCAATGACTGATAACGTGGTTGTTTATGGGTGGCTCATTGTAAACAATCCAAGGTATGTTCAGCTAAAGGTACTTCTGTAAGATCAGTAAATATGATGGTCAATTCAACAGTATAGGAGTAACAGAAAAACAAACAAACAATGGTCAGCCCAACAGTATGGCTATGACCAAAGAATAGAGGACTCTTCCTCAAGCTGCCTTTCAACAACAGTACTCCAAAAAGAATGGTGTGGAATTATAATGATCAACCCACTCAGCACAAACAGGTAGAATCAAAGGTCAAGACTAGTTGATACTTTATTGTAGAACTCTTAGCTCAATATTGAACCTGCTGTCAAGAAACTCACTTTTGGTATCCAAACAGACTCAGGAACAGATGTCCTTGGATTTACTACCAAGTTCCCTTTTTAACAGCTAAAGCCTATCAGGCAAAGAAGACCTAGGCTCAGTATAACTACTCAGATGAGTGAGGTCAAGCTTTACTATCAATCTATAAAGTCTCCTCACTAAGCTACTCTAAGTCTTAGGTGGATATAAAGACAACACGAATTTTATGAAATATGTTTTTGGAAAAAAAACACCAAAGGTTGGTGAAAGTAAAAATAAAAATAAAATAAAAATTTGAATATAACTGTGGCTGTACCTTGCTTGCTGGTTGTTGCACATAGTGAGCTCACAGCTGATTGCTTGGTATGATGAGCTTGCAGTATTTACTGTCTCTTAAGAATGTTCCGTGAGATTGATTCTGGGTCATCGCCATCGCTGACTAAGCAAAACTCATTGCAAAATTAAATGTATGAAAATATTCAGTCCACTCATGTATAGACTTGAAAAAATGAAAAGAAGGCAAAAAATATTGCCTTGGCCTCAGTCTGACTTCAGATCAAAGGGAAAATGATTTCATAGTGATGTCTGGGGTATAAGGCTCATGGAAGAGTATTAGTCATTCATGCACTGAACCAGTTTGGTGCAGATTATCAGGTATATAAGCATCTGGACAGATAGAGGTCTGGAGGTCTAGAGAAATGAACAGGGGGTCTGGATGAGGTGTGAGAACATTGTCACATGTGAATTCGCACTTTGCCAACCAATTGTATTGATGTCCATCAGCATAAAGCTAGGTATGCATATGGGGTGTGCAATCTTATCATGTTAGAAGAATTTATACTGACTACTTTTCTAGTTCATCTATCCAAACTATGATGTTGATGATGTCGACAGGTACTTTGACATCTCCCTCAAGAGGGTAAGCCAGAAGGTTGTGTCAAACTATGAAAAGTGCCTATAGGGCACCAAACAGGCTCATTGGGCTTGCGAACCATTGAACCTTGCCAGTGACAGTAGTGAAGAGTATGCCAATGATAGCCATGATGAGCCATTGATCAGCTTGGTCAGCAATTCACATGAAGATGAGGAATTATATGAAGATCCTGATGAAGCTAAGCTCATGGCCACCATTAACAGGCTCTACAAGTGGGAACCAATGTTCCTGATCGTCAATTGGAAGAAGTTAAAAGCTGCACTCATCACAGGAATATGGAATAAAGGATACTTGAAGCCATAATGTATTGTCTCTTTTAAGAAGTCTTGTAATGAATGACTAATAAAGAATCAAAAGACATTTAATTGTTACCTTTCTAAAGTATATATAATTTGATGGTTTCTAATTTATTAAAGCCAGTATTTTCAGATAGAGATCTAATGAAGTCTATGGCAACTGAATTACTATGACTATCTGATACAAGGAGAGAATGCAAAAACCTAGCAAAAGTTGTTGTCTTTAACTTTTCTCTAGCTATTATATCCTCAAAGCTAGAAATTCTTTTAAGGTTATGTTACTTCAAAATCCTTCCACTATAAATGTTACCTGAGTTAAGTCAAAATTATATATATAAGACTAGATGTACTTTATGGACTAAGTAAAATGCTGAAAAGCCTGTAACTTGATTTGTCATAATTTTATCAGCAAATAGGACATAAGGTAACTTGTTTAGCCATAGATCGATCTTCTTTCCATATGCTTTCACTAGTGCTTCTCTTAAAGTGATATGTCAACTCTTTTGACTAATTCTAAGAATGTCCCTTTAACTTTTGGACCATTGTCAGTTGTTATTCATCCTATAGCTCTGTATTAGCAATAGATATCTTCCTAGAAAAACTTGCTAAAAGATTTTGCAGTATTAGACTTTAATGCTTACATGATGATTTTTTTCCTCCTGTCATGATGATATCCCAGACTGCACTACCTCCTCCTAACACAGTTATAGTAGTGCTTCAGATAACACCACTGCTTACAAACATTATATTCAGTCTAGATACTCTGCCACAGATACAGATTTAGGTATAAGAACTTATGAAAATAGATATATTTAAACACTTTGTTCTAATGTTAACTATGGACAGTATAACATTGGTATGAAAAAGTTTCGAGGCCATGATATTAGGATATCAGAGTAGTAAGTCTGGCAAGATCATATTCATAGCTATAGCTAATTCTAAAATAGCTGAAATCACTGAATAGAGCTGTTGTTTTTGGTTATAGGTTATATATTTCCACACAAATGAGTTTCTGAGGTTCTTGATGACTTGACAGACAGTTTTGTGGTAAGCAGTTGCCTTAGAGATAATATCATAGATGATTTTGTGATATCTGATACTATTACTGGTAAAGTATGGCTGGAGGAATGAATGAGTAAAGGAAAAGAGGCTAGCAGTAGTAGTTTCAAAGTCAATAAAGACAAAATATATAAATAGAAGCATAGATCTACAGAAAAAACTTAAGAACTGAAAGGCTATTAGCATGATAGAAGCCCTGATATATTTAGTTATGAATAATCAAATAATTAAAACAAAAAAAAAACTCACATAGTAGGGTATGTACTGCTCTTCCATAACAATATGACATCATATATACCTAAAAAACATGTCCTCATAGAAGATTATATTTTCAGTGCCTAGGGAGAGTTGCATGCACATATAGCACATTACTCTGGGTAGCAGCAGTTGAACTTAGGCTGAGTGCTGTCCTATTAGGTGTTATTAGATGTTTCAGAGAGTGATTATCATTATATTTAGGATGCAATTAAATTGGTGATAATCTGATTCATAAGTAAGCTTTCTCAGTTTCCTATATCTAATCTGATAGAACATTCTCTTCAGACTATCATATATCTCTTTCTCCAACAACTATTTGTTAATCTGCCAACCCTAGTCCATGAATCTATTTTGGTATCTCTGCATACTATAATGGAGAATATCATATCATCATTGCCCCTTTCATCAGCACTTAGTACCACCCTCCACATCCTTATGAACATAATGATCAAAAAGGGCAAAGATAATGAGAATGATGAAGACAAACACAATCTTAGCATCTTCCACGTATTTATTCAATGTGAGATGAGGGATGCAGAATTTCATCCGCTATGGCCTTTTAAGGTGTTGTTCTCACACTCTTCTAAAGCAGCAGAGGCTAAGATATAACTTACTGCTAACAAGAACCCTCACATTAAAAAAGCCACATATTTCCATATTGCTGAGGCAGCACTATATATGTTGCCAAGTGATGACTAGATTGTCAAGCAGAAGTTAGATAAGAAGAAGGTTTCATGCATCAGAGAGGTGGTGGGAGTACAAATGATAGTGAGATCATGTCTTTCGTATATATGTACATGGCTACATCTACTCCAAGTAACTGTTATGATATATGACTCTATTCTTCTAATAGACAGCTGACCAATTATAGTATGCAATATTATGCTACTGCAGTACATAGCATGTGAGTAGTTTTGACTTATTTTAATGTGACACTAGTAGGTACTCTTCCTGCAACAAAATGCTACTGGCCTTGAAAGTATCCGGTGTGTATTTAAGCATACTTTTAGAAGAATTTGCAACTCAATAGTCTAGCATCTAGAGGAGGAGCATCCTCCAGGCAGTAATAACCCTCTTATGTAAGTACTATCAATTTATTAATGGTTTTAGAAATCTACATAGTCTTTTCAGTACTTTAATTAAACCTCTAAAGTAATGGATTGTTCTTGACACAGTGATTAATTGAGATACTTACATCAATAGTTTTAAGACAGCTGCCAAGCAAACAGAGTTTAGGAGGTATTATAAGTGGTGTGAGAATTTCCTTAAGCATACCATTAATGAGATTGATGAGGCCAAGTATGTCTCACCTGTGAGCTCTAAAAGAAGAAAATATGGCTAATTCACTAATTATGTTTTATGCAAACTGTTTTTTTCCTTGTCTACTACTTTGTGTTTTAATTATACTGTACACTTTTTCTGTTATATAATGTAATACTATAATGAAATTTGTTATGTTGATATTTGACAGTCGTGGTGACATGAGTCATATTAGCACAGTAACTACTAGTATTGGCTGTAACAATCATGATATGTGTCATTTTATACTAAAATGATAAGAGGTGATATAGTGTTATACTGACTGTGGCACTATAGGCAATGAGTGATCATTTAGTGAAAAGTTTTTACCAATTGATAAGACATCATCCTAGATACAACTTAGATGTACCATGCTTGATTGTTAACTAGGTAATATTGTGAACAGCCATATTTAATGCAGCAGGTGACCATTTTTATGGAGTGATGCTAGACCTCTTTTAATAATTTATCTACAAAGTATCATATTTATGAGACATACATGTCTTTATCAATAATTAGAGTTTTCTTGTAATTAATTGTCATCCAGTGCTATTATGCTGATGCTTATATAATACTATATATTTAAATATAATATATTGATAATTGATTCAATTTTGCCAGAAATATAGCAAATATAAGATGCTGGTCAGGTGGGATGATCATATGTAGGGAGAAGACTATAATAGATTTGCTGATGACAAAAGTAGTAAGATGCAATTCCTAAAAGATGCAAGAAGAATATATATTATGTACATGATTTCTGGTTGATGATGTAGGTATAGATCATAAGGTTAGAGTTCAACATACAAAGATGAGGTCAATAAGTGAGAAAAAAGACTATTAGACTCATTTTCAACAGTATAATTTAAGAATTATAGTGCAATTTTAATCATAATAATAAATATCTAAAATTTTATCCAAGGTATGGTTTAGGTTTCTAGCAAGATAAATGCATGAAACGCAATGGACTCAGATAGCTACCATAGAAAAAACATTCTCCAAATCTTGATATTCTTATAAGCCTACTAATTCATATGCTTAGCTCTAGATTATTAACTTCAATTGTTTTTGACTCTTATTTGTATAAATCTCTAGCTCATCTGAAGTATAGAAATACACTAAAGAACACAAAAATATTCTCTCTGTAGGATTTCATTTTTAGTAGTGATACATACCTATATGATATCTAGCAATAGGATGATATCACTGTACTTGGTCTTATAGATGCAAACACCAAAGCATAGAGAGCTGGAATAGTAGTAGTTATTTAAAAATTAATAAAGAGTCTAATCTAAGGAATTTTCTTCTTCTTTGAAGACATTCATGGACTTAACTAAAGTTAGCCATAACCAGCTTTCCAGCACTATTATAAAATCTTAAATGTGACCTTCCAGACTCTCATATATATATAACTGTTTATAGAATGACTATTTGTAATATATATCAGAAATCTCTAGCTATTTTTAAAAATGGAATCTTCTACAGAATTAAAATATATCCTAAATTACTACAGAAAGCTATGAAGTGTCAGATGTTAACAAGTGTTACTCAGACTCTGATCAATATAATTTTTAATGTCTTCAATATTAAAATCCAGGATATACAGAAATATATAACTTCTGATTGTATAAGTCCAAGATCTAAATTATTTATAAGCAGGCCATTTATCTTTTTCTAAATCCTGAATTATTTAAAAAGAGAAATTCTCAGTAGTCTTTATTATAAACTGAAGAAAAATATATTATAGAGTTTCACAGATAGTTGAAAGATATGGATGAGAGTGAGAAAATGTCACTATAAAATGAACTTGCAGAAATATCTTCCAACCTTCACTATTTTTGATGAGCATTATAACTATTTGAAGAATTAAATAATCTATTAAAACTATGTACAGAGGGTAGGACTGATTTTGAGGGGCTTGGCTTCAGTTTGTGTGCTGCATCCCTTACCCAAGTATATATCCTTAATTTCAGATCAAGTCTGGGAAAATTCCAATAAAGTATGGAGGACTTTAGATATAGGCTACTCTAATAGAGTGTCAAAAAACTTCTGGAGAAGTGTGGGAAATCACTAAAGGAGTTTAGGACTGAAGAAGTAAGGAGATAGAGTAGTAAAGGAGCAGAACTCTGGCCTAGGCAGCCTAGGGAATTCTGTAGGTACTGATAAAAATGGAGGAACAGAAACTAGTATGTGGACTTAGCATGTGATATAGTGTAAGGACTAATTGATATTTAGACTAAGAAAGTATATGATTTTCTATACTGAAGACAAGTCCCAGCAGATTAGTAAGCAGAGAGGTAAGGCTATATATAATCATGTAGAAATATATTGATAAGTAAGAAAGATCATAAGTAAATAAACTTAGAGATGAAACACATATAAGGATTAATAAGCAAGATGGGGACAAAGGTAACCAAAAGCCAGAAAAGCAGAGATACATTAATAGGGAAATAGTACAGATATGGACAGAGCATTTAAACACTATAATACAAAACATCCTTGTCAATCTGGATTTTAAGAATGAGATGAACTCTATAGTGTGATGATGCCACTTTGCTATACTACTTCTGAGACTCTATCTAATCTCTCAGATTCCATTTTAAATATCAATGAACCCTTCTGTACTCTGACTTTCTGCCTAGGCATCTTTTATTTTATATATCTCCTTTGAAAATAGTAATGACCATATTGAAACATCATTAGCTTCTTGCTTAGTAGTATATTCTATGATTTCCTCCTTGTTGTCATATTTATTGTCTATATCTCTCTCTATACTACACTGATTTTCTTCAATGGATTCCTCATTAGTTTGTTCTTATTTTATCTTCTTTTCTTATTTTTTTTTATACTTCTCTCTCTCTTTATTTTTTCACTAACTTTGTGCCCTCTCTTGAAATAAATGTCTTTAATCTTGTTGCATAGAATTCTCCTGGCACTTATTGTCTTGGATTATCTTTAAATGGCACAAAGTCCACAATTATTTGGTAACATAATATAGGAGAGACTATTTTGAAAGTAACTTCTGTTTTGCTTTAAGAGTATTATGTATACTACTAATTTCTATAGCACCATAAAGGTTTATTTTCCCATCACTCTAATTATTTTTCAAATATAGCTTGTTTTATATCTCATTCAGCGCATCTGGTACTTCAGTATGTACTCACTAGTGTAAGTACTTTAGCCACACATCGTTAGCTTCATCTGTCCATTCTATGTTCATTTTAGTTTGTTAGTATGTATTTTCATTCTATTTCTATATATTCTGATAATATCTCTAGCACTATGTATAACCAGTTTCAGAGTCTAAGCTGTTGATGCCAAACAGAACCAATTGTTGTACATAGGCAGTTAAAAAAATAATGTCAGAAGCACCTTGTAAATACAGCTTTGAACATTTCTGATGATTAGACTCAAATACTATTGTGATATTTGTAGTGCTACATCTGAATATGGTGTATATCAGTAGTTTTTCAGTACATATAATTAAATGAAATGACAATTTACTAATACTAAAATAAAGTACCTTAATATTATAGATAATACATATTCTGATAATAGTAGTATACAAGTGACGAGATATAGATATATGAAGATAAAACTTGAAGTCCTAAATAATCATTGATTATGTGTTATGTTTAGTAATACATAGGGGAGATGCATAGTAAATAAAAAAAAATTAAATGGACCCATAATGTAATAGATCTTGACTGTTTGTCAGTGAGTTGTGTATATGATGTGATTGTATTAATGATAGAAGCAGAAAGCATTGTAGATATTGAGGTAATTACATGTGGTTGAGTTTAGAATAGGAATATCTGGCACTAGCCATGGAAGTGTTTTCTGCTGATATTCATTCTTTAATTTGCATTCTGGCCACTAAGCAATAAATAGTATCTGTGAAGCAATTATTGAACCTCTGATAAATGTATATAAGAAAATACTTACTTGCTTATTCCACATCCCAATAATATGTATAGTACACCATCAAATAGTATAATCACCTTTAGTGCAGGCCAATGCCAGAATGAAGTAGTTCAAAAACAGATAGATATTTTATAATAACTTTTGTCAAAAGTCAATGTTATGCATAGAATGGTAATATATAATTCATTAGCTAATGTTACTGTCATCATTGTTGATATAGGCTTGCTGATAGGTCCCTCTACTAGTAATACCCTGTGTAAGATCAAGATCACTTATGAGCCTATCACTTCAAGTCTAGTAGCTTTAAACTTCATAAAACCTCTTCTCATATCAGCATCTAGTTTAGGAAAGCACCCTCATACAAATATATTGTGGAATCACTCTACTTTCCTTTCCAACACTACTACTAGCATGCTACAGGTATCAAGTATATTGTTGGATAAGAAACTCGAGCTTTCAACCCAGGATATAGTAAGTCACTGTCAGATAACAAATGACAAATTACATATATGCATTGTAGGCAGTACAAGAAGAGAGGACTTTGATGAGTGAGGATAAGCTTATTCTTATGCATATTTTTATGAAAAGCCTAATAATCTGCTCTATACATATCTAAATTATGGAAACCGATTTACATGCAAACTTTTTATGGAATATTATCAACTAGATGAAATAAAGTTGCAATCTATAGCTCTAATTAATGCAAGTCTAAGTTTTGTGTACATTAAATTACTATATTCTTATATACTCACATTTTTGCACTATGTTTTCTTTTAAATTGTAGTACTGTATGTAGAATACAGTATAAATATTGGATGTCTCTATCTGCCTCCTGCTTAAAATCATCATTTTCATCAGTATCAATATCCCTAATGTTTGAAATATATGAGTCTTCTATAAGATTATGCTTATAAATATACCTCTCATAGTTCTCCTACATTTGAATTCACATATGTATCTGCATTTACACCTTCAGGCTTATAAGAGTTAGTACTGTCTAAGTTAGACTGTCCTTTATTTGCAGAGTTATCATCAATGATGGCAGCTCATAGGAGAGGCTCCTTACCTTGTAAATAAGTATGAAGTTATGGATAGTGCAGAGTACAGCATGGACATGCACCTGTATCTCCATCTCATATTTTGAGGATATTGATTAGTTATACTCAAAATAACTTTCAAAACCTTTTGAAAACTCACTTAGACACCAGCTAAATACTTTGAACTCTCAGCTAAAGTCTTGAAGAAACCTCGGCCAATGACCTAGATTCAAAGTCAGGCTGGCATTGTACGGCGGACTTTGAAAGTACCATGCCTCCTGCCCATCGACAATGTGCCCGTTGTTCTGTATGCCTTAAAGCTCATACTCTATCGCACTTGGGGGCGATGGATGAGGAATCAAATATTCAAGGTCATTCCACCTCACACCCACCTTTGGAACAGTCTGGACCCCGGCTTGCCATCCAGTGGCACAATGACCATGCACTTACTGACACACTGGTGAACTATCTGACCACCCACCCTGCCGATTGTTGAATTCTATTGGATTCTGATGGCAAGAAAGCCATGGCTGCTGCAGATAATGGTCCCTCAGGCTCAGATAAGGGGCATATATATCGTGTTCTCGCTAAGCTCATCTTCATGGACCACATCAAGTACGGCCCTGCATACTCAGTCAATTCAAAGAAATTTCATGATGTGGTCTGCAATCGTATCAGGACGTAATTCTAATCATATTTGTTATTCCATTAATAAAAATTTCAAAATTCACGCAGTCTCAGGGGTAAATACAAAAAAATCAAGGCATCGTTCAGCAGTACAGGCGCTGGTGTTATGTCAGTTGAGGGAACTTCAGCAAACAATCTGCTGGGTGACTTTTTAGTCCCATTTTTTTCTCATTCTTGGCTAATCAATTGTTTTAGATGCTGCGCTTCTCGAGCTGCCATGGTACACAGAACTTGATGCCATTTGGCACTCTAATCCGTCCATGGCCGCAAAGGTGCACTCATCAAGACCTGGTGTCGACCATGGGCATCCTACATACAATAACCGGTCTGCGTTTGGCACACAGAAACTGTCAAGCTGTGGGGGGTAATGCAAAATACCATTGGTCATATCACACAGCATGTTGATGCCCTTGTTGACAACATGCAACACCACTCTGTCGTCAGAGTATCATATATCCCCAATGCCCCAGACATCACTTCCAAAAAGTGCCAGCAGCTCAAAGAAGAAAAAGGCGAAGTCGGACGTGTCGCAGCAGGTGGAGCAGGTGAGGGATGAAATCAAGAGCTTCCACTCGAGCATAATGTCCCACATCTTGTCATTGTCCGCATCTGTCGTCATCCATCCCCTTGTCCTGTCTGCTTTGCCATCTTATCATCGTCATCGCCGACATTTGTTGTTACTTATTTGTTCCATTGGATATGTAAATGTTTTATGTCTTATGGTACTTTCATTCATGCTACATAGGTATATACATTTGTTGTACAGGTGTATTGGTAGTAGCACATGTTCAAGTAAGCATTGTTTTTGGTTGTCATCCTTCCCTGTGGTGTGCACCTGAGTGAGGACTATCAAAGAGTGCATCCATCAACCTTGCACGAGCAGCTTGACCTGGAGTGCCTTCATATGTCCTGTCACCAACTACTTCTTCACCATCTGGACTCTCAATCTCTTGATCAATAAAATCTTCCCCCTCTGCATGGGCCCACTTTAGAGAACTCTGGTATGTTCCATCCTTCTTGCGATGCTCAATTTCAAAGTGAATGATCATGTTGTGCAGGATGATGCAACACTTGATCCACTGTACAGCAAACTCAAGGTCTTTTCCAGCCTGGATCCTGAACCAGAGCTCTCAAAGGGACTGGAACCGTCCCTTTAGAACAGCAGATGTGTGTTCAACATGAACACAGATCTAAATAAATAATAAAATCAATTTATTAAAATATGGCCCTTCAAAAAAATACCTTAGAGAGGTGATAATTAAATGACTTCTGGTTCTTTGTCAGCCACCCATTATGAGGCTTCTTAAAAGGGGCAATGCACCATGGCTCCAATGGATATGCACTGTCTGCCCAAACCCAATGACCATCAGGCAAAAGGTCAGCATGATCTTCATAGAGACAGGTAGATCGAAAAGCAGATGCATCATGGACACTTCCAGGATGACCCAGAGCATAATCCACAATAAGAAGGTTATGGGGTAAAATACTGCCTGGAATTAAATCAATTTTTGCACAAGAATATAACAAAATAAAAAAATACCTGACAGCCAAGGGAATACTTGGATTTCCTATCAAAAAATGTCTCACCATAGTAACCAGGTTTGGTGACAAGGTCCACAGTTGAGCCATCAATGGCTAAAAAGCCACCTTTCCACTCTGGGCAGGTAGGTGACTCAGCAAATTTGTGAGCCAAATCAGCATCCTCAGAGTTATCTGCTGGGAAGCAGATAAACTGATCATGGGCATCAAGCACCGCAATCATCACATGATTAGTGTAATTAACCATGGACCCAACACTCACACCTGCCCATTAAGCAACATCCTCAAGAGTAATGGCATTGCCATAGTGGCCTGCCCGATTCAAAGAAATTGCAAGCTGGATGGAGACAGCGAGCTGAGGATTGTTGGATTCATTTTGGAAGATAGGGTGATTAGAGATATGATCAAGGATGTCATCAAAAATCTCAGGGTCAATGCGAACTTTCTGCTGAAACAAGTGAGGGCAGTGTTCTTCATGATGAATTAACATATGAAGCTGAGGGGCTCGTGGAGGAGGTTTATCAGGCTTATGGAGTGCACGAGCCCTCTGAACCTCATCATGGAAGGCATTAATGGTATTGTAGAGCCTGTTGTAAGGCAAAATGACATCATCTGAAGATGTAGAACCATCACTAGAAGAATTGGAGGTCCCTGTCATAGGGGAGAGGGGGGATGGGGGGGAGCTAAAAGACAAATTAATTGTGTCATCATCTGAAAGTAGAAAGTGAGGTGCCAGAGCTGGAATCATCAGAGCTGGAGTCGAAGTCAGAGTCAGAGTCAGACCAATCATCTAAGATATCCTGGTGCTGTAGCTTGGCCAAAGCAAGTTCAGCCTGATCTACAATATCCAGGAGTTGTTGACATGTGGATGGCTGAGGCATACTAGTTACAGTGGAGTGGAATCGATGGGATCAAATCCCCTATCTATTTGTATATGTGACATTGTTTTTGGCGGAGTGTGAATTTTCAGCAAATTCTGAAGCTTCGTCTCGTGCTGAGCATGTTGGTGTCGTCGACCTTACCCTCAAATCTGGATGCTCACCTACAGTGCTGAGCATGACACCATCAAGTGTCATGCACTCAACAAGGTAAGTAATTTTTTGTTCTATTTGCAAGTTGTAGCTAAGATTTATCCTTATCTTACAGAAAATCTATTCTAGTGCAGACATACCACCTGACCAGCACCTTATCTTTGCCGGCGAGCTGCCTGCCTGCCCTCTACCTCATTCCCTAGACCTTCTACATCCTTCCTTAAAGGCCAACTCTATGCCCATTTCAATCCAGCTGGCTCGAGGCTGTTGGCGCTCTTGCGCGCTATCTTGAAGATGGCCGTACTCTCAGCAGCTACAACATCCAGAAGTAGTCTGCCCTTTGCCGGGTCTTGCATCTTTTGAAGTAGTCCATCCTTCACTGGGTTTACCTCCTTTGTTCCCTTTGATACTCTACCTACACCTGGTTTCGTTCCTGCTGAGAGTTAGTTTTTTTTAAATTCATGCATGCTGCAATTTGAAATATGATACGTGTTAGAGCATTTAAATCTTACGAACCTATGTTGTCTCTAGCTCTGTAAAGTACAACTAAGTACGACTTCCCACTACATATAACATGCCTTGAATATCCTAAGTCTTTCAATGCCTGACTTTGTGCTGATGTGTGCCGAGCGCAATTCAACTTTTCTTAAACTACTTTAGCCGAGAGTTCAAAGTGTTTAGCTGGTATCTAAGCGAGTTTTCAAAAGGTTTTGAAAGTTATTTTGAGTATAACTATTGAATATAAGCGTCTCTTTAGAATATCAAGAAAATTGTTCAATAACATTACATACAGATACATGACAAAAATTAAAATGTTCCTCTTTATTTACTGGAACTTATATACTATCTCAATTATATTCTACCTAGCCTCTACATCATCTAGTAAGGCTATTACAGTTTTCTTTTCTCTCTCTTCATTTTGTTGCATATACCCAGGCTGGATTCAGGGAAGTCTCCACTGATGTCCTCACTGATGTCTCCTACACCACTTTAGTCAGCTGCTATGACACAACAAAGGACAAAAGGACACACACTATTGTGCTCCTAAACTTTAATAGAGGATTGTTTGACAGCGGGAGAGTTGATGGGAATGGTGCTGTAAGCAGGTGGGCCTTTTTCTTTAATGGGTAAGCCTTGAATGGATATATATGACAGGTGAAATGCATGTGCACACAATAATAGATCTGCCAGATTGGAAGAACCACAGATTGCATGTTCCCCCATGTGATGAGACATAGGTGGCCACTGTGGCGGGGAGGCAGGAGGCAGGAAAGTCAATTAGTTACATTTCCGCCTGTGAGAAATCTGCCTCTAGGATCAACAACAAGCAGTGAACTTTGAGCAAACTCCAATTATCTCTGCAATGGCTGTTACGACTGGGGTCATTCTTCTTTACAATGACCGAATGGCCAAGTCAAAGTGTAAAGTGGAGTCTGCCTATGAATATAGGTCGAGGTTTCTGGCTAAGGACAGTGTCGCTGACTGCCTTAGAATAGTGGTTCGAGACAGTAAGGTTGGGGACCTTACTGAAGGACTAGTTTCCAGGTAAAATCCAGTAGATTAAAGTGAGGAGCACAAGCGGTAACTACTGTGCTTAAATAGTCCATATGGTACGCACAGACCAGGCCAAGAAAGGTAGGCATACAAGGTGTTATCAAGATAGAAGCTAAGAGCGTTCATGCAGTGCATGTAGATAGTTTGTCATATACTGGATTCTACACCTCACTTCCACTATGATATCTTGTCCAAATCCTCATATATCCGGACATATCCATATGATCCCCACCTGATCCAGTTCACACATCCAATCCATACTCCATCCGATCCTCATCCGATCCTCATCCATGTCCTATCCGAACCCCTGGCTTTCGGACCTTCGAATCTCGTTGGTGGTCCTATCCGAAACTATTCCTGTGCACCTGCGCATTACCCCATTTAGGATATACCTGTGTTTCTGGCTCTCAGTTATCTCTGCTTCTGTCTTGATAATGTATTCTGTATGAGTTTCATCTCCGAGTTCATTTCCTTATGTTCCGTTTCACTTACTAATACATTTCCACATGCTCGTACATAGCCTTACCTCTCTGCTTACTGATCTGCACAGACTTGCCTCTAGTATATAAACTCCTGTACTTCCTTAGTCTGAATATCATATGAGTCCTCGCACTAGATCTCACTCTAAAGTCCTCATACTAGTTCTTACCTTCTGAATATCCACCTTAGGCCTAGGGAGGAATTCCCTAGGCCGGAGCTCCGCTCCTCCGCTCATCCGATCCCCCGATCCTCTGCTCATGTTACAAGTAACATCAGTCACGTGGCCCCCCTATCATTTTCCCTTCATCCTCGCCCTCACCATCTACCGGCTCGTCCTCCTTTACCAACTTTCCGTTGACCGGATCCTCGGGACCATTCCCGTCCCTCGCATCATCCGCCTCCTAGCATGTGCACGCACGTTCCTCCTATGACTCGACCACCAATGTGGTCCCGCACCTCTGACTCGGACTGACTCATGTCACCAATGTGGCTTTCCTTTCTTGTTCTCTTCTAACTGCGCTTTCCCGCACATTGTATTCTTACCATTGGTCCATTCCAACGTTTCTCGGTCTCATTCCACATTCGACCGTTCATCACTAATCCAGCTCTGTTGCCAACGCACCTATACCATTCTCGTTTCCCCTTTACCCTTACCTACAGTGCGGTAGCCTTGCCCTTAACTCTCTCCACTTAGTATAAGTAGTCGGTCACCCTGTACTAGATTCTCTAACTTGAATCTACTCAATCTTCCCTGGAACATACTTCCCTCTGAAGCCTCATAAGCTTTAGTCTCTAGTATCTTTTCTTAGTTGCTCCTCGCGACTAAGTCTACCTCGATTGACACTCATCGTTCGGACAAGACTGTCCTTACTTTGAGCCTGGTGACTTCGCAGACATCCGTCTTAGAAGTCACGTGACACGTGCATCTGTGAACACTGCCGACTTGTCGTCGCCAGTCTCTCGCCATACCGGATCCTTCCGGTTACGTCAATGACCGTTAGCGGACGACGCCCCTCTTAGGGCTCCGCATAACAGATCTATTTGAGTGCGTAACAGCTCATCTGATCCTCCATTCCTCCGAGTTTCTGGAAGTTCCTTCAGATCTTTCCTGCAGTCCTTCGGACCTATTCTGCTTCAGACTTTGTCCTTGCAGCCTTTCCTCTGTTTGCTTCTACTCAGGATGTGTCCTGAGTAGCCATTATACATATCCATATCAGGACGAAACCTCCATTGTAATTTCCAGAAGTTCCTCCGGAACTTTCCCACACTCCTCTGGAAGTTACTTACACTCGTCCGGAAAGTCTTTCCGAAGTTTCCCGCACTCCTTCGGAAGTCCTTTGGACTTCCTTAGACTTTCTCTGGACATCATTCTGAAATTAAGGGCACATACTTGGGTAAGGGGCACAGCGCACGAGCTGAAGCCAAGCCCCTCAGAATCAGTCCTACCCTTTGTGCACGGTCTTAACATGGTTGCTAACATGATAAGAGATCTTGGTGATAAGAAAGGTGATATACTGGAAGGTGATCGGTCTCTGTGCAGTAGACACAGCAAGGGACCATTGTCCGGTGATAGAAGAGAAAATAGGGGTATACCTTGACCGTAACAATGGCTGAATGTCAGTTATCTCCTTCAGAACTACACTTTATCATCTGTGCATTAATGCAAGCAGGGCCAAGAAGCCCAAACCTTGGCCTTGCGACTGCAAGACCTGACTATGTGATCATCTTGCCCAACATTTTCAATCATCCCTGGTGAAACTGGGGGCACCATGCAGCCTCGTCAAGAACCTAGGCCCAAAGCCCCATATGGTCCTACTTGTTTCAGGAATAGCAAGAAGTTGGCTAGGTTGCAGTGGCATATCGGAGACAATATGGCTTGTACAAGCACAGCTTCGTCACAAGTTGTTATCTCCGCACTTGCTGTAATTCACCCAGAATCCAAAGGGATAGAACCAAAGATGTGGATGGATAGCGTGAAACAGACGTGCATATCTGATGTGCCTTGGGACGGAAGCATACCATCAGTCCTTTGGCATTGCCATGCCTTTTCATCTCAAGAAGTGGGTGTGGTGTTCATGAAAATCCTAAGTTATGTTGAGCTAGTGGTGAAATGTCAAAGGTGCGCTTCATGTATTAATGACGACTTGTTGGAGCTTATTTCTAACTATCAATTTAGTCTCTTGTACAGTTCCACCAACATCTCCAGTCTACACAATATTTATGTTACTTTTGTCGCACCTCTGCCTGCCTGGCTGCAAGACGGTTTTGCGTACCTTTGTGTTCTGGAACACCTTGGGGCATAAATTTGCCCAATTGGCTGCTGGTGGATCAGTATATGTTCTACTCATGGTTGCCAGCCTGGATTTGTACTGGAGCATTCCAGAGTACTCAGTCGTGTTGTTCCTTTTGAGGTAGGAAAGATGCTGAGACAGCCGGATGATTCTCCTGCAGGGAAACTTGTGCATAGCTGGATCATTCCGACTGTTGCCTTTATGAGAGAGAAACTCCCTCTTTCCTTTGAGAATCACTTTTGCGTCAATTTCAGTGTCTTACACAAACTCTCTGCTACAGTGGACTGCACATCCATGAAAGACTCAGACAGGTTCTTTGACTGCTTGTAAAGGAAGTGAGTAGCACACAACTGTCGTCATAAAGGCCATCAGCTAATATTTGAACAAACTGAAGTGACCATAAGTTCCCATCATGATCACGTTCTTCCTGGAAGCCCTGCTTGACTCCAGTTCTAGACGACCTCCTGTCAGTCTACAAGATAGCAGTTGAAGCTGATAGCTGGAATATAAATGTCAATGCATCAACACATGATGACTCAGATGGGCAAGGGCTTTTCACTGACCTCAAGATGGAGATTGCTGTGGTGATGACACAATTTGATCCTTTGGGAATTGGCAGAGATAGGGGCAGAAGTTAATGACCTGTCAGCACTGCAAAATAAGGTATGAGAATTTCAATGCAGATAGTGCCCGGTGTGACTAAAGACGATGAAGCTTGATATGTTCTATCCTGGGGCATAAGCTAGGAGATTCATGAAGGGATCTGTTTTTCAGCCAATGTCACTCATTGAGACACCTGACTAATTAGGTAATTTTGCACAAACAAACAATAGATTTTGTTATTGATTGCTATCAAACTTTGTTAAGCATCCACTAGCTGAAAAACATTCCTTTACTACACATGTTATTCTCAACTTCATGCAACTATAACACATGTTCTGAATAGTTACAACTGTTATCTATACATCCTGAACAGTTTCATGTCTCTCCGATTCATTGTTGTCGTGCAATGTGCAATACAAATTTCAAATTGTCTAAAACTAGGGTTTTGAACAGTAAAACACACATTTCAGTACTATTTTTGTTGGTCAATGTAATACAATATTTTCCATGGGGTAAGATATATATTGTCTGAATGCACACAAGCAGTGGTGAGATAAGAAAATGTGTTGTTGTTGTGTGAGGCATGTTTTAAGTCGACGTCCTATTTTGAAAGGTTCTCTAGCTACAAATCTTTGCTTTCTGAATTCCAATGTGATACACCCTCTTTCTACAAGCTGATGAAGATGGACATGAAGGACACTCTCAAGTATATTGTTATTTATTGATCATTAGCTCTAGCTGATTCTTTTTGGCAGAAAGGTTTTAATAGTACATTCAATAAGCATGTTTGTAAAATCTATTAGCTTATCAAGTTTGCATTTTTTTTTTGATGATCTAAGTTGGCCATTGTAGCTGCTAGTAGTTATTAGTAGCTATAATGAACAAGTGATTTTTATAAAAATAATGTATTCATTATAGTGCTGTGCTGTCATAATAGCTGCTGAAGGCTAGAGCTTTCCATAGTAAGATTTTTTGCAAAATGCTGCTGCTATTATAGCTACTATAGAAGGAACTTGTTCATAAATAGTATAGATGGTATTGCAGCTATTATAGCTCATAGTTGCTACTAGGAGCTATAATAGCAACTGTGCATTTTCCTGATGACTCCTGGATTCTCAGCCATGTGTTTGATGTCTGAAGGTTTAATAGATTTGGACAGGTTAAAAAGCGACATTTCCCCATCCCAGTCCCAACACATGTTGAATGGACCTGCACAGTTGCAGGTAATGAGGTAGGCCAACCAGAAGTAAGACTGTAGGTCATGATGGAACTGTATGGGTTCCCCAATGATCAATTGGTTGGACTCAAAGGGAAGTGTCCACTGTCGTCATATCAGTATTGAGATCAAAGGTCAGAACACTAGTGACTTATGGTGTGTGGTAGGTGCTCCTCTCCTGCAAGATCTGTACAGTCTGCAGCAGATCATCCACCCTTCACATGCTTTTTCAGGATGTGAAGGAATAGCAGATTCGGCAAAGATATTATGCACCAGGAACATGGAGTTGCCATCGCTGACATCACAATGCAATACCTGTCGACGTTCATAAGCATTACAATGACCTGGGATGAATGTTAGAAACGATAATTTTAAATCAGCAAAATTTTATCTCACCAACTATGGCACCTATGATACTGTTAAACATTTCTTGTGCGGTTCCAAATCACAAAATGTCAACTCCACAAGTAGCAAAAGTGGTACAGGATCAATGTTGTTCTTCAAGTTGGCGATCTTTTGGAGATATGTTGAAAATCTTGACTAAGTCTGCTATCGGATCATTGCAGCACAGATGGAAGTGATGGACATATGAGGAAGCCGAGATTTGCTGAACAGACCAATGGAAGGGCGCATATAGTCTTTCATAATGGTAATTCATCAGAGGGATTCCATCTCGTCCCAACATAGATTGTGAATGTGGCAATAGACTCCATCCAGCTTCTCCGCACACTCTCTGTCTGAATGATCACCATGATCTTGCTCTTTGGAGGTCTTGAGAAGAGTCTTGTTAACAAAATGTGTTCCATCGATTGACACCATAAGATGACTGGGCAATGTGTGAGTGCTGCATTATCTCCACATAGTAGTACTGGAACTATGTGTTAGTTATATGATCATTCACCTCTACAATACGCATTTCTATGTCTTTTATGTGTCTAATCTTGCCATTGCATGTATGGTATCATTCCTTACACTTTGCTACCTATTTACATGACTTCCTGATCTCCCTAGGACATCCCTAGGTTGAGTTATTACTTACCTTTGGATTGTGACTTGTCTGTTTACATTTGTTTACCATATGTCGCCCATATCCCAGAGTCCAGTGCTTCCTCCTGCCTCTTTGGCAACTTACTCTGGACTCTAGTTTGATCTCTTCTAGTCTCTCAGTAGCCTCTAGAAGCGGCCCACTTCATTCCCATCTCAACAGCTTATGAGCCCAATCTTCGCCTATCTCGATCCCAAACGCCTCAATCTGATGAGGAGGCATCATCCATGCATGGTGTGCCCTATCTTGCTGCTGTTGGCACTCTGATGTATCTAGCCACCACCACTCGACCTGACATTGTCTACACTGTTGGTGTCCTTGCCAGATTCAACTCAAACTCAGGCATCGCCCACTGGCAGGCTGTCAAACACCTCCTTCGCTATATCAAAGGCTCCATCGACCAAGTGCTTGTCTACAAGCCTGATCCTCATTCCGAAATCATGCAGATGCAGACTGTGCTTGATATCTAAGATAATAGTTAGTTACTTGGCAGCATGAGAAAAAAGAATAAGTACTCTGTGTCTCTCAGCTTCAGTAGGAGTTCCACATTTGTCATCATGTAAACATCCCACTCAGTCTCTTTGCCCAGATGTGCGAAATACTCAATCTCCTCCTGACACCAAGTCTTCAGATCCCCCTCCTGAATGTCGAGTGATTGCTTTGTTGAGATGAGAATGAAGTGGGCCGCTTCTAGAGGCTACTGAGAGACTAGAAGAGATCAAACTAGAGTCCAGAGTAAGTTTCCAATCTATTAAATGGTATAGTGAAGTTGTATAGTACACCTATCAAGGATGGAGGACTAGTTCTGGTGTGTGAGTGATTACTAGGCTCAGAAGGCGGTGGAGAAACATTATCATATTCAGAAATATCAGATTCCTTCTCACTTTCCATCTCCTCTTCCTGGAGCATAGCAGCTGTACACTGTCTGGTAACTATCAAAACATATTTAGTGGTATGTTTTCATTACAAAATCAACTCACCTTTTTTTCTCCTGTTCTTGAGCTAATTCTGCAGCATTCTTCGCTTTCAGAAGCTTTTTCAACTCCTTGGCCTGAGAAGCAGTGAAAGTACTGGAAGTGGAAATTGGTTTTGATGAGGCTTTTTTAGCTGGAGCCTTTTTTGCTTTTGGTTAAGGTTAAGCGCCAAAATTTACATCCCATAATATTTAAATTAACTTATTCATAGGTTATGTAAGAATTGAGTTGTTCCAAGAAAGACCAAGTTGAGTCCACTCCATTATCACAAAGTCAATCTTATATATTAAATCATATATAAATCAAATACAAGTGAATCTGTAAAGTAAGCATAAAGTAGACATTTATATATACATTTAAATCAAAAGGCAAAAAGGTAAAGTAGCAATCTATTGGCATAACATTAAAGGAAGGAAGGATGATCAACTCATCCATTTTGACTCTCTTTCCACTTTAGGAACACTCTGTTAATATAAAAGACTAGAGACACACTCTCTCCTAAGTATTTAAGATTGAAATGAGTTGTATCACTGGAACAGAAAGCCAATAAGTCACTGTTCATGGCTTCAATGACCAGACCCTGCTCAGCAAGCACCAACCTCCCCCAACAAATTCTCCAATAGGTAGAACCAAACATAGTGTCAAATCTTTGTCATCTCTGTGAGCCAGTGTAGAGATGTTAATGTTTAGAACAAGAGATAGAAAAGGCACCACAGGTGAGTCGACTTTGCCTGGGAGTAATTCTACCAGTTCTACTGGAACTTGGTATTCTACTGGGAATGCTCTTCTAAGGTTAAAATAGTCAGAATGATATGAGACAAAGAATTTAGCATGTAACATACCACACCCTACAATTTAAAGAAAAAATTAGTACATGTAAGGCATCCATATATAACAACTTACTGTGAGTCCACAGTGATTTCACCAAAAAAAAAGCATGGTTGAGAAAGGACATTCTGACTCATCCTCCTCTGGGTCGCCCATTTTGTTCCTAAAGACATTGACACCATTGAAACAGACCTAGAGTTTTAGGAACAGGGTTTTTCTCATAGCGTCAGGCATGGATGGGCATATGAAAGCCATGAGTGTTCCATCTGCATTGACCATGAGGGATTTTGTTTCTGTTGCTTATCCAGGAATATGTGCTCTGATGCAAAATTCTATTGACGGGCTCGTGCCCTGAATACCCGCACTGTGGTTGAGATCATTTTCATCACAACACACTCCACTGCTGACCACTTAAACCACCACATGTATTTCAAACCTCGCGTGCTACAGACTTTTTTGATGCATGTTTCAAAGTTAGTGCTATGGACATTGCTCTAAGATAGAGGTGTTTGCCATTGCTGGCGTTCAAGGTAAGGCTTATGGCTTCGTCTATGTGATATAACTAACAATCAATATACAGGTGTGGCTAAAACCTACTTGCAAGAGACTCTCGACATCAAGAAAACTACTGGGGAGCTAATTTTCAAGAAACTTCATACATTTTTTTAGTGGTTCTGGTGATGTATTTGTCTGAATTTTGAGAAGAACTGGCTGCCACTCCTGAGAGAGTTTCTCACATGTATTATCACAACTTTGACCACCACATCATTATGAAGCATCACATCATTGTTGAAAACTGGCCACTTGCCAAATTCTGCTGCCCTGGGGACCTCAATTCGCGGACTGAAATATCTGTCCTAAAGTCTGCATGGGACTCTGGTGCCACTAGATTTCGCAAGCTCACTGATGCTGAATTTGAAGAGTGGGAAGAGGAATGCTTTCAGGCTCCACTGCACAATAGGAACTGAGGAGCAAATGGAAATGAGGGCGAGGAAGGAGAGCTCGAGAACACAATAGCAACTGCAAGCACTCAGTCTTCCATCCCTTCGAATGATGATGGTTCATCTCCGACATCCTCTGCAACTCCAGATACTCAATCCCAGGTGGCTCCCTCTCGCAAGCATACATTGCCAATTGTGGCCATCAGTGTTTGACACTGGTGACAATGAGCCCCAACTCAACAGTACCGTCTAGCTCTATATCGGAAATTTCCTAAGTCAGTTGCAATAGGGTACCTTTGAGTCTCGGTACCAACCATATTGATACTGAGTTGAGATTTTGTACCAATGTTCCATTATTGATACTCAATAGGGATATTTCTACTGAGGTTGCGATATTGATAGCGAAAGTTGGATTATTCAAGGTGAGTCACATTATTGATACCAGGTCACAACCTCATTGACACTGATTATGTACTTTTGAATCAATACGTCTTCTGCAGCGTGCACTGGGGCACTGTCCGATCCAGTCAACACTTCCTCCCTCTATCAACTGCGCCCCCCAATTGTTTTGTTACATCTTACTGGTATGTCAGTATCATCTTGAAGTCTGAATCTAATACTGATGCATCAGTATTATGACAGAACACCACAACTTTCATCATCATATGCCTGCAGATCAGTATTGCCTGTGTTCAATTTGTGGCACATCCTACCATTGACAAGGTCTCCGGACACACGAAAATGCATGCTGAAAGCGATCTGAATAGAGGAGAGAGGATGTTGAACTTGCTAGAGGGATTCGCCGAGGTACAACATGATATCAATCTGTCAATTGATGTTGCATCTGAATCAATTTAAATCAATTCATAGAGAGAGAACATAATGTGCAAATAGGGTCTGGACCTGTGTTTGTGTTAAGATGAGAGTGAAGTGGGCCGCTTCTAGAGGCTACTGAGGGACCAGAAGAGATCAGACTAGAGTCCAGAGTAAGTTGCCAATCTATTGAATGCTATAGTGAAGTTGTACAGTACCTAGAGTCCAGAGTAAGTTGCCAAAGAGGCAGGAAGCACTGGACTCTGGGATATGGGCGACGTATGGTAAACATATGTAAACAGACAAGCCACAATCCAAAGGTAAGTAATAACTTGACCTAGGGACGTCCTAGGGAGATCAGGAAGTCATGTAAATAGGTAGCAAAGTGTAAGGAATGATACCATACGTGCAATGGCAAGGTTAGACACATAAAAGACATAGAAATGCGTACTGTAGAGGTGAACGATCATATAACTAACAGTTTGTTGGTGACGATGCCTTCAATATCAATGGTCACATAGACTATCCTAATGATCCCGACATCGGACAGATGAATAGTACATTCATTCTCTCCGCTTTCCCCATCCGTTCAGCTCACAATGTTCCTTTCAGGTTCTCCACCACCCGAATCTAGAACGGCATCACCTTGACCCCAGTTTGAGGAGGATGACATCCAAGTGCAGTATCATCCCAATAGTCAGTGCCAAACACAGGTTTTTCAGTTCGAGGATTATGGACGTGGTCTTGGCGCCCCCACAGTAGTTCCACCGGTTGAACCTGAGCCATGGTACCCATTCCGAACTCAGATCGACTGTGAAGTTGCAGAGCTTGTCCTCGAAGCAGCACTCACTCACCAGCAGACAGACCGGCTTTTCGACCTCATTCGTCGCACCAAGTCTGAACAGTTCACACTTCGGAATCACAAAGATGTATGAGATACATGGGACACAGCTTCGTTTAAATTGACACCTGTCTGTATTCAATTTCTCCAAGTGTAAAACTAATCTAAGGCTTTTGCGATAACAGTTTGTAAAGGAAGAGGTAGTTATGCCATTTCAAGGTGATAATAAGACATTTCAACTATTCCATCGCTCGATATGGGACTGGGCTGTGGATCTCCTTCAGGATCCCCAAGTTGGTCCGCATTTTGTCTTTGATGCTGAATGGCTTTCGAAGTTTAACGGTGACAAGTTTGTTCAGTTCATTCACGAGCCTTGGACTGCCAACGCATTCTGGGAGTATCAAGTATGCGATACTATTGTTTTACAGGTCTGCGCCATGTATTAATGTAGCATTGTTATAGTCAAAAATACCATCAGATGCCAAGCCTCTCGCCTTCATTCTTTATGCGGATAAAGCCAAATTGTTGTCATTTGGCCGGGCAAAAGGTTATCCTGTCGTTGCTCGGTGCGCTAACCTTCCTGTTGCCATTTGTAATGGAGAAGGCTTGGGTGGTGGACATGTAGTGGGATGGCTACCAATTGTTAATTCTGTCCTTCACTCAATGACTGAATATTATCAACTAACAATACTTTGACAGGTGAAGGAGGACAAGAAGCACTCCGGAAAGCCAGTATATGTCAACTTCAAAAATGCAGTATGGCATCAATCATTTCTGAAGATCCTTGCCTGCCTCGCACCACTGTTGAAGTTTGGATCTGCCGTTAAATGCTGGGATGACATCATTTGTATCTTAAATCCGATCATACTCATACTCTCTGCAGACTACGAAGAACAGTTTGTGTCAATATCAATGCTCCCTCAATAACATCTTTGACACTCTTACAGGTCTGTGATGGCATTGATTCATGGTCTGATGGGAAAATTCCCTTGCCCTATATGTCTTGTGCCTCATGATGAGCTTTATAAGACATCTAATATCTATCCTCTTCGCACATCTGCAGGTGCGAAGGCATTACGTGTTCAGGCCCGAGAGTCTACAACCTTGGAAGCGCGAGAACAAATACTGAGCTCCGAGAGCCTTCGTGATGTTGATGTAAGTCTTTGTTTTGTTTCTGACTCTATTAATTTGTAAATTATCATACTTAGAATTCATTTGATACCATGGAGAATACTGATGTTCATCGGGCTCTCTCAAACGACAAACTCCACTTTAACGATGGCGGCCTTTTCAGCTTATTGTCTTTGCAGCTCATAATGTATTTCGTCAAGATCAGGATTCAGAGGCTTATCTTCTGCTCTGTTGTATTCATAGCTATGTGGAATTCAACACATATGCTTCAGAAATACATTGAAGACACATTAGACTTAATTGACAAGTCGTGGAATTTCCCGAAGAAACATCTTTCTGTACATCTCTTCGATGATATTGAGGCAAAAGGTGTCACCCAAAACTATAACACAAAACCAAATGAAACAATGCATGGCCCACTGAAGGATGCTTATCAGGATCGTACAAACTTCAAGAACTTCACTGAGCAGGTAAGCATTACTATTACAACAGTGTATATTAAGATATGAATTAAGTGCTGATGGAATTCGAAGGTTCTCTGATATAACCATGACAGCCTTATCGCAGAATACATTTGTGGCAAGTTGAGCTGTCTCGATGCGCAAAATCTCAGCCTACTTGAGTCAGATCTGCCTGAGATTGATTCAGAGACTGAACCGACGACAGATGGGCTACATTTCAGTCTTGGCTCACCGCAGGCAATGCAGTCATTTGCAGATGTCAAAGCCAGTAAGACAGGCAATCCGGCCTTCATTCGATTTCAGATCAAGCTGAATGAATTTTTGAACCATGCATTCAATGCCAACAATATACCATTTCCCAATGGGAGATGAATCCAACTCGCTGCTGATGACACGGTGTGTCAACATTGCAAAGCACATTATTAGTAACTTATCGGAATCATTAACAGATCACTGAGTACCAATTTCTTAAAGTCAACTATGAATCACTCATTGACTGGCATGTATTCTCCAATGCAGTCCAATGTTTCACGGATTGCCTCGATATGATTTCGTCATCCTGCAGACAGAAGCTAGCATTATCTTCACACAATTATTGATGGCCTTCACCTGCATGGTCAGAGATGTCCAATACCCTATCGTGCTCACTCTCCCATATGATCAACCTGTTGGTGCTCATCCATGGAAGGACAAAGATTTTGACTTCTGGTGAGTTAAGGCAAAGCATCGAGTCTCCGCGGAATTCTTTTCGGTGCAATCCATCATCCGTGGTTGTGTATTGGTGGAAGACAGTAGCAGACCCAATGAGGCTTTGGTTGTTGACACTCTCGATACAGATATGTTCCTTCACATAAAGGAAATTCGTACTAATAGTACTACGGCTGGTTAGTAGGTTAGTTGTGACTGATTTGTTCACCTTGACCTTTGTTTGACTGCATTGTCCTACACTAAAGCGGCGAGTTATTAGCTTCCCCTTCAACAATGAACATGATCCTGTGCACCACATTCCCTCTCACCTGCTGCAATGACAAAGGACCAGCTCGGACTCCAGAGGAGAAAAAGCAACAACTGGAAGACCTCTCAGCGACGGCCCATTACTGCCACTACGATTCAGAGGCTGACTGCCAACGGTCATTAATCCTCACGCATTTCAACAAGTGTTTCGATTCCTACCTTTGCCCAAAAGGTTGTGACAACTATTTGAGAGGTGGAACAGTTTTTTGCCAGCTGTACACTCCTCTGTCATGTTCTGTGTCTGTGCTGTTGTTGCAGGGGCGTAAGCATCATCTCCCTCCCCCCCTTATTTTGTTCACCCAGACTGCACAGAACGAAACAGTCCTGGACCCTCCTGGCGAATTTGGCCGCTGTCTCCAGCCATCCTGTTTCAGCTGGCAAGGGCATTGGGCACTCACGACGGTGTGGCAATCTAGAAGATTTGCACAATCTAAGAAGTAAAGTATGACGGTTTTCGGAAATGCTCGGGTGCTCGTGTGGCTTTCGCGTATTTCGCTTACCTTGCTTAAACCTGTTTTTGGGAAACTCGTGTGGTTTTCTCGCGTGCACTCGCAAGAGTAAGACTAAGACTAAGTAAGAACTTCCAGTGTGAATGAACAAATTGAGTGAAATTTCTACGAAGTCCAAAAATACTGCCAAACATGATATAGTGGACAGTAATCCTCACGCTACTGTGCCACGGGAACACAACGGACAAACAACACACTTTTCCTACTATATGGGAAAGGCATCGAGAATAACAAAAGCAATAATAGAAATTTGATTACACATTTGGTTACACAACTTGGCTGCTGCTTTTGAATAGAATTCTCGAATTAAATTGCCTTTCCCTGCAGCCAAGTGTAATAAAGTGTGATACACTTTTTGTGGATGTTATTTCTTATCAACAATGATAGAAATGACTTATTCATCAGTTCAGGCAAAATTTTGCACTCGCTAAACAACCGTTTGAATTAACAAACCATGGATGGATATCTACCTATTCTGTGAGTTGCTGACTATATGTATTTGCTATGTGCAAGGTGCATAATGCTCATATTCTGCACATTAGAAATAATGAACAAATCACTCCCGAACATGATCGACACTCCCAACGCGAGCATGACAGGCTCAATCGACTTCAAATGACTTCTCCTACTAGGCACAATCGTCGCCGTGCTGCCCATGATAATCAAGACAGGCCTCTGCCTCCCGCACCACAGTCAAATTTCATGCCAGCTAATGTACCACAAGCAGGACCTGTTCCACGACCTTTTGCTTGGCAACCCCCCCTCACTTTGCATATGAGCCACTACCAGTCGGGCAATATCCTGGCTTGCCACGAAATGCAATTGCACAGGTGCAGCGTGCTCATCATGTTCTTCCAATTGATTACAATGCACACTTGAATGAGCGAATGAATGCTGCTCAAAATGACAGATGCCATTAATGTGCTCATCGTCAGCAACAAGACAGAGATGAGATAAGACAGCAGGTGCAAGGTGTGCTCATGGCAGCTGGGATGCAGCCTCCACAGGTGCCTCACATTCCTGATGAACCTGTTCCACCTGTTCCACCTGTTCCACCTGCTCCTCCTGTATATGGTGCTATTCATTATGAGGGCGCAGTTGGTCCACACAACATTGACAATCCCCTCCACTACTTTGCACATGATCCTGCCCCACCTTTACATGCACCACTTGTTAAGATGAGAGTGAAGTGGGCTGCTTCTAGAGGCTACTGAGAGACCAGAAGAGATCAGACTAGAGTCCAGAGTAAGTTGCCAATCTATTGAATGCTATAGTGAAGTTGTACAGTACCTAGAGTCCAGAGTAAGTTGCCAAAGAGGCAGGAAGCACTGGACTCTGGGATATGGGCGACGTATGGTAAACATATGTAAACAGACAAGCCACAATCAAAGGGTAAGTAATAACTCGACCTAGGGACGTCCTAGGGAGATCAGGAAGTCATGTAAATAGGTAGCAAAGTGTATGGAATGATACCGTAAGTGTAATGGCAAGGTTAGACATATAGAAGATATAGAAATGCGTACTGTAGAGGTGAATAATCATATAACTAATACCACTTGAACCTGATCACCATCAATTTAATGTTCAGTTTCGAGATCATTTACAAGAACAGCAAATGGAAAATGAGCGCATTAGAAATAATCTGCTGTAGAGACAAGCAGAGGAGGCTTTTCATCAACAGCAGATCCAGCTACATTTACAGCAGCAGGAAGCTGAGCAACAGCAGATTCTGCTGCAATTGCAGCAGCAGGAAGCTGAGCGGGCTGATAGACAGGCTCAGGATATTCAGCGAGCAGGTCAACAGGTAGAAGAGGAACAACATCGCCAGGAGCAGAGGAATCTGTTGAGATGGGCATGAAGTGGGCCGCTTCTAGAGGCTACTGAGAGACCAGAAGAGATCAGACTAGAGTCCAGAGGAAGTTGCCAATCTATTGATTCACATCCGTAGGCGTCACCATCGAGGATAGGGCCCTTCAAGGCTCTGGCCCAAATGCATTTTGTATCCATGGATCTCTTCACCACCTTATGGGCAGCCTGATTCCCCCTGAAGGTATTCAGCCTTCATATGCTCAAATCTACATTTATGATCCCGAACATGCCACCGACATTCGCACCAACTGACCAGGAAATGAGGGCCTTGATTGACATATTCTCAGAGAGCTCCATGATATGATCTATCAGAGTCATCCATATGCGGCTCTTTATAAGCAGGCCTATCAAGTTATGAGCGAGAAGCCTCCAGAGCAGCACACAGAAGTTTGTGCACACATTCACTTTCAGCAGGGCACAGATGGTCGAAGATATAATCTTCCCACTGCCACATCAATTTGGAAGTCTGCGCTTCAATCAAATCTGTCAAGTATATTCATAAGTATATCTACAAAGGACATGACCGTGCGACTTTGGAGATGAAAGGACCAGTGGATGAGGTCAAATCATATCTTGACTCTAGATATATTAGCTCAATTGAGGCTGCATAGCGCATCATGGAAAATGAGATGCACCTTGAATGGCCTGCTGTCTACCACTTGCCAGTCCACCTCCCAGGTGAACACATGGTTGTCTATGATCCTGAGGATAATCCCAAGGATGTTGTCGAGCGTGCAGCAGCAAAGGAGACTCACCTCACTGGATGGTTCAAAGCCAATGCTGATGAAAACATGGTGGCAGCTGGAGCCCGTGATCTCCTCTACCAAGATTTCCCCTCAAAGTTTGTGTGGCAAAAAGTTGCTTAGAAGATACATCAGCGTGGAGTTGCAATTGGAAGGATATATTCTGCTGCCCCCAGCTCTGGAGAGAGATTTTATCTGAGATTGCTTTTGACCATAGTGAAAGGTATGATTTCTGCGATGATTTGTATGAATCAAACTTAATGTGTTTTTTCAAAGGTGCTACCTCCTATGAACACCTGTGGACTGTCGATAATGTTGTCTGTGAGACTTTCAAGGACGCATGTCAGCTCAGGGGTCTGCTAGATGATAATAATGAATGGATTCAGTGCTTGCGGGATGCCTCTCATATGTGCACTGGATACCATACATGAAATCTATTTGCCATCATCCTCCTCTTCTGCAACCCTACAAACCCTGATGACCTTTGGAACTGCTTCAAGGACAATCTCTGTGATGATCTGCACCATTGTCTCACTTGCATGCCATTTAACATGCCAGATGCTACTGAGGAGGAGGTCTATGACTATGGTCTCTATCTCATCGATGGAGTGCTTCGCAAAAATGGAAAGTCTTTGGATGCCATTCCCCACATGCCTGTCTCTCAAATGGCAGCAAGATGGGGGGCCATGGAAGGTAACCCGTTGATTGCTAAACAGCTCCAGTACAACCAAGAAGAGCTTCAGCAGGTGGTGGATAGAGGAGTTCTTTCTCTCAAAGAAGAGCAGCGGGTGGTCTTTGATGCGGTGGTGAATGATACAATGCATCGGGATGAACACAGACCAGGACATTCATACTTTGTCCACAGTGCAGGTGGATGTGGCAAGACATATCTCTGCAAGCTCATTGCTTCAAAACTCCATGTTGAAGGCAAGATCGTCCTATGTGTGGCTTCCTCCGGAATCACTTCTCTCCTCCTGCCAGGTGGATGTACAGCTCATTCGCAATTCAAGATCCCTATTCCCATTCACGAAGACAGCTCTTGCAACATAAAGAAAGGAGACATTCTTCATGAGCTTCTCAAGGCCACCTCCCTAATCATTTGTGATGAAATTCTGATGTTACACCGCCACATCCTGGAATGCCTTGACCGCATATTACGTGATCTTCTGAATGTTGATGCTGATTTTGGAGGAATAGCCATGCTCTTTGGAGGAGACTTTAGACAGACCCTGCTGGTGGTGCCTCATGGATCCAGGGAGCAGATAGTGGGTGCTACCTTTTGCAGATCTCGCATTTGGTCAAGGCTTTATATATTCCATCTCAAGAGAAATATGTGTCTTAGTCAAGATCCCGCTTCTGATGATTTTGCAAGGTGGCTTCTTGAGATTGGAGCTGGTAGGGGCACAACTGAAGATGGAACTGTGACCCTCCCTGCCCGTATGCAGTGTCCCAACAATGATCTCCAGTCTCTCATCAATGCCCTATACTCAAGAATTCTGCTCCCTGATCGTCCTCCCTTAAATGATTCATACTTCCTGGATCGCACCATTCTTTCTGCAAAGAATACTGATGTGGATGAAATCAATGTCACTATCCTGGAATCATTCCCTGGAGAAAAAGCAGTATTCACCAGCGTGGACTCAGTCACGGAGAGAGAATACAATTACATTTGACCAGAGTTCCTTCATACCCTTGCCCCATCAGGCTTCCCTTTGCACAAATTGGAGGTCAAAGCAGGTGTTCCTCTGATGCTTTTGTGCAATTTGAACCCCTTGTAGGGACTCTATAATGGAACTCACATGATCCTCCTGTCTTGGACCACCCGTGTCCTTAGGTGCCGTGTTCTTAGGGATGGAGATGATGAAGATCAGCAGGTCAATGAGAACACAGTCCTAATCCCTCGCATCACTATGGAATCCAGTTCTGAAGAGAACCCAATCCCTCTCAAGTGTCGCCAGTTTCCTGTTCATCTTGCATTCACTATGACATTCAACAAGGTGCAAGGTCAAAGTGTCAAGTGGGTTGGCCTTAATTTGCAGACTCCTGTCTTCAGCCATGGACAACTCTATGTGGCTTTATCTCGCTGCACCCACCCAGACAGGGTGTTTGCTATCTTTCCTGAGCATGAAGAAGGCTCAAATACAACCAATGTAGTATATACAGAAGTACTTAGAGGGCTGACTGATCCTATTGATGATTGATTTACATATTCTGTACTTTTATGTTGTGTAGTAGATTGTACTTTTACTTTTTGTCGAAATCTTGCTCAAAGAATGTAGCTTATCTTGAAATTTGTGATCTCTATCTGCTGTGATTATTAGGATGCAGCCTGAGGCCACTGAAGGAGCGCGTAGCGCTCCTTTGATTTGTGTTGAAGGCACAATGGGTGTGAGCTCGTATTGGTCATTGGCTCTCTGTAGCTGACGACCTGGAAGATTCATACAATATTGGTTGTTGGCTCTCCATAGTGGGTAGCCTCGAATCTGTCACTTAGGCACCCAGGACAGCACAACCACTGGTCCAACGCCGCAACAAGTCTGGATTGATGGTATCCCTCAACTTTCTGAGCCCACCGTCGCTTCCAAACCCACTTGCTCCCCATCGACACTTACATCAAGGATTCCACCCACCCTGAATACCTCTTTGACACCATGGAGACTACCTGGCCTTATGTTCTTCAATGAGTGCATCAACCGTGATGAGGGTATGCACACTGATTTGCCTGCTTGCTCTTTAGCCACCTCAAATGTCGTCCACACCATCCTCAGGCTGTCGCCATCGAGGATTCGAGCAAGGCAACTTCTTTGAAAAGCATGTGTCAGACTACTCAAAGGTGAATGTCAGTCACGCGATCAAACCTCACTCATTGGAAGAGGACTTCTAGATGTGTCATTGCACTTAATTACAGCTCTCCACATGCACTATACCACATGCTGAGTGCCACATTGTCAATGACAGATGATTATGTAATAATATGCTGACATTTTTGCCAAGTCCATTGGTTTCAATCGGTCTTCCAACCTAGATTCAACCAACTTCGCCATTCATTGACACTGTAACTGTAATTGTTACATTGACAAGACTCAGTTTGACGATACTTCGAGGATCACGGAACGGCAGCTACAACCTCTCGACATAAACATGATGCAGCTATGACTCATGTCGCCATGTTTACAGGTAAGTTGCATCGTTTTCTCTGCCTCCCATCAAGCCACGAGGCTAATTTGTTTGATTATCAGTGCTATACTGCAATATCAAGCTACCTCATGTACGACCATGTGTTCCTTTTGTTCCGACATTGCCCATCGACTGCCGCACCTATAAGTTGTCTGCCCCATCATATTTTTTATGACACTGAGTCTTTCAACCCACTGCAGGTATCTCTCTCATTGACATTATGCCCCAGCAGGCTCCCTGTCACGTCATTCAATCTGATGCGTCTGAATTGGACTTCGACGATTTGGACTCTCCATCTATTACAGCAGGGCTCTCATCAACTGCTAGTCGTTAGTCATCTGAAGCAGTCTCCAACAGCTGCAGGCAACAGTCGCATGGGGACATTGAGGTATTGTAGTCATGTCATGCTTGCAACTATTCAATATACTGATTCTCATGTCTTAAGATTGTTCGGCGCTTGCAGTTGGAAAACCAGGCACTCAAGAACGATAACCGTACTCTGGGCAAGAAGAACAAGACTTTGTTGTCTAATCAATGCCGGTGTTCAAGCACTCAAGTTCCAGATGAGCTGAAAATTTTCGATGTAGAGCTCTCAACCTTTTCCTGCAAGTATGGAATTGTTGTGGAGATGTTCCCACCTGAGCATCATATCCTCAAACTCCCTGTGTCGAACCCTCCACCTGCAATCATATCCGGGAGTTGCTATGCCAGCAAAAGTGCCGAAGAGCTCGGTCTCGTGACTGAACTATACTCACTTCTTCCAGACCATCTCCATCGGTTTGTACCGACTTCGCATTTTCAATTGTTGGTACGTCAGTCTATTATGTTGTGTGACCTAACAATGATTATTAATATGTACTGCAGCTAGAACAACAACTTCAAGGTGGTCGCTCGAGCGAAATCAGCAAGTTAAGGGTGATGGCAGGTCAAATTTTCAGTCTTGATCTGTCGTACTTTGACATTGGTTTTACAAATCGAGACACAATCCCTGAAATCCAGAAGATGCTCTGTACGACTGGTCCAGGTGGTCGTTTAACATCGTTGAAGTTCCCACCCGTCCTTTTTACGAGGCAGGAAAGGGACCCTACGATGTCCACGGTTTTTGGAAATTGGGAGCCACTCGCAAAGGTACTTGTTTTATTTATCACTGTCTGAATCTATTCTTATGCTGTCTGGTCCAAATTCACCTAGGCAATCAGGATCATAATGTTTGGAAAAAATTCGCTAGATATTGCTGGATGGCCTCATGCCAAGTGCAACACTCGAAAATGGGGCATCACCTCATGCACCCCTGGTCTTCTTGCCTGGGGTTGGGTCGCAGTGAGTTCTTTAAGCCTTCGCTACAATCAATTCACAGTATCTAACATTTCTTTAGTTAATCTTCATTCTGTCCTCCGACACTTCGTTCACCAAAGACAGAGTTGGCGCAAAGTCTCGTCTACTGTATGCGGCAATGTTCACAGCCTACAAACAGTTGTGGGTGACACTTTGGCAAGAGCCATGCATTCTGTCGATCCACTGACAAATTGATCGCCATGTCTGGCAGTCAACATCATCTTCCAATATCGCGACTTCAGATGCTGAAGGCGAGGATTTGACATCCAATCTAATGCGCTTGGCCCTCGCCAATGCAGGGCGTGAAGATCCAGAATCAGACTCTCCAACTACTGATGATCACTATGTTTCTCCAGTTCCCCCCAGTTTGCCGACACTCGCTCTGGCTGCACCACCTGCCTTTCCCCTCACTGCACTAGCACCAGCCATCACCCCTGCTGTCGAGACTACTGTGACTGCCACTGTAACCCCTGCTGCTCCAGTTGTGCTCACAGCTGATGAAACCCCTCCAGTTCCTGATGTACCTGACAGTGTGGAAATGCTGCCACCAACAGCTTCATCCTCTGGTCGACGGGGCTGTGGAAGAGGAAAGAGGGGTGGGCTAGTGGCTATATCATTGTCAGCAGAGCAGTGAGAAACACGAACTCAGAGAAGGAACTAGAACTACTGTTGCAGTGTATTAGTAGTATGCAGTCAGATTAGTGCTCATTGTAATCTGATTTTGTTGGTTTCAATGATGTTCAAATTGACTTCAAACTGAACAATATTTATTGAGACAAAGTTAGGAAGCCTTGGGATCTCAATCGCAACCTACAATGAAATCAGCTTTAATTGTTGCAAGCCGACTTGCAGCCGACAGCTAATATTACTAATTGGGTTGAAACTTTCATTGAAAGGCATGATTGCAACCAGCTTGTGACATAAATTATAACATAATGCTCTTTTATTGTAACACATTGGATCCTAGGCTCGTCATTAGATCCTTGCAACCCATTGCAAGGCCATGAATCCCGAATAGGAAATTTCTGACATAGATATACTATACCTTCGTTACTTGCTGTTTTGTCTAGCCCTTATATCTACAAGCAATGAATGATTTTCTTGAATTTTTGAGAGAGAAAACTAGCTTTTTTAGACATTATTTAGGTTTAGAAGTGAGCTCGTTGCTGACAACAGCGAGCACAAGAGGTGTGGATGTTCCTGAGCAGTGAGTACATAAGCTTCTAAATTGGAAATCATTGGTTGCATATGGAAGAGGCACAATACATGTGTTTTGCCGAAGTATAGATATTCAACATTATTCAGCTATTTACTGGCAGTGTAGGCACTTGGTGTATTCATGCCTACTTAGCTTGCCACACCTGGGGATATATGGCAGCCTAATTAGGTGGAATTTGCATATTGGGGGTCCATATTTGTGATTTGGGTTGATGAAGTTGTTTTCAACCAGTGCTCTGAAAAAGATATTATAAAGCAACTCACTCATGTGGGCATTGTCTTGGGTTGTTCTGTTGTGATTGTTGTCAGCTGCTAGATCTCTTAGCGTTTTTATTGTTGTATGTACCCGGTCTGCTGGGTCACTGGCTACATACTTATAGAATGTCCACATTCCTAAGGGTGTTAGCATATCCATCCATTCGTTCCAGTGAGATCATCTACCTTGGCATGTTTGATGTTCTCTGAGAATTGGTTCCACACTATCCTGTATTTTTCATGTACCAGGTTGTCTTTTCTCACCTAGAGTTTTCTTGCTTTCTGTCCCAGTCAGTGTACTAGATTTCTCTCCATTTCTAGTGCTTTGGACCACCAGCGCTTTGCATATGGCAACAGTTTTGTTTTGAGTACTTTGACCTCTACTGTTTCTGTTATACTTTTCATTAGCACTGTCAGCACTTGTTCAAACTGTACATGGATTGTCAGCTCAGCTGGGGGGAATGACATTGAGCTTCTCTGATAGGGCTATTCTGAACTTGTTCCAATCAATGTCTCAGTAGTTGTGCTTTAGGATGGTTATAGTGCACTTGGGTTGTAGGTCTATAATGGTTATTATTAGGAAATTATGGGCCTGATCTGGTATTCTATGCTATATTGAATGATGGCTGGTTCCAGTCAAGCAGAGCAAAAGATGTTATTGGAGCATATTACACTGGGGGAAAAAGACAATGTCTCCTTGGAAAACATTCTGAAGACATTGTGAGGAATGTCAATATTTTTTCTATCTCAATCACCCAACATTATCCTGAGATAATTCAAAAATTACCTAGTGTATCATCTATCTTGTGTCAAATGTTTTTTTATTATACATTTTGCTTGTCATTATCAGAACTTCAACCTTATGCAGGAGTAGACTTTGTAGCTAAACGAGTGCCATTCTCCTTCCCTGTCCTTCAGTGGTAGATAGTGTTGGTTGGTGTTCTTCTGAGGTTGTTGTGATCTGCTATTCTGAGTGTTGTCTTGATTGTGTCACTCTTTGTCTAGGTTTGAGATCTTCTCCCATGTTAGTGGGTTATCTGTAACATAAAAACAATATTTAGCTTCCTCATTGCAGTTCATGTATGTTTGGCACTTCTGCTTGAAGGTTGGACAATTCCTACTCCATGCAGTGTGCCTTGAACCTTGCAGTTTGCACAGCAGAATTTGCTCAGATACTTCTCTGTGCATGTGGCAGTACAATGGTTGCTGCCATATGTTCTGTAGGTGTCATTTTCCTTTGTGCATTCTGCTGCCATGTGCATGTCATCAAAAAAATAGCATTTGAGGTATCTGGTGGGTTCAGCAACCATCTTCCTTGCATATACCTTTTTACCCATAACTGATAGACCGAACTTTATCGCCTGCTTGGTGCCTTCTTTTGTATTGAAGGTGAGGATTGCATGGGCCATGTATTGTTCTGGACTGTGTCTGCTGATTGGTTTGATATATCTTGCTTTCACTATCATTTTTGGCTTTAATCCTGCTTTTTGTGTGATGTCTGCTAGTGTGGCTGGTTGCTTTAGCAATGAAGTTAATTGGTACATTCTCCACTATGATGTGGTACACTCTTTCTCTCACCTCTATGCTGAAGCTGTTAAGGAATTTGCTGTGGTTTGCTGGTGTATTGAACCATGCTGCAGATTTCATTGAGTCAAGTTAGTATAAGACTTCACTGTGGGGCAAACATCTTGCTGATATGAAATTGAGATTTTCCAGGGTGCTTATCTCTTTTCCTTTCTCATTGTTTCTACCACAACATCAGGAAAAACTGTTCTGCTATATAGCTCTATATAGCTCTATATAATCATAATAATATCCAAAGTAATCATAGCATCTATAAAATAGTGCCTACTATAGAGCCCTATAGAGCTCCCTAAAGCTGCTATAGTAGGGTGAATTCTCTAAAGCTGTTAAAGTTGCTAAAGCTGTTATACATTATACATAGCTGTTAAGAATGTGCTCAATGGTTCGGATCCGAAGGGCTTGGCTTCAGCTTGTGCACTGCGCCCCTTACCCGAGTACGTGCCCCTAACTTCTGAGGGCTAATGGATGATGTCCGGAGTCCGGAGTCCGATGCGCAGGAATTCTGGCAGACGTTCGGGAACAAGTGATAAGACTAATCTGGACGATGTCCGAACTAGAAAAGAAACAGCAGAGGACTACCTAAGGTAGAGGTGGAGGTGATATGTCTATAGGAGTCGATCCTAAGACTGTCGGAGATGACGAGAAGAGACTTCAAGTCAGACGGAGGAGGGAATGAGCAGAATCTAAGATAATATTCGAACTGAGGAACTACAAGGATTGTACAGGGTTTATATACTACTGAGGACATAACGGAGAAACAGCCAGTGCAGTGCAAGGCTATGGACAGAGCATGTGGGACGACTATCACTAGTCTATCGGAACTTAGTAAAATGAAGATGGAAATGAATAAGGGATGGAAAATAAAGCATACTAACCAATAAGAGAAATACTAAAGGGAAAAGGCATGGAAGATAGGAGCTGACCGGATCCGGAAGTCCCGAGATGATTGCATGATTGGTCCAGGTCTGGAACGCAGGATATGACAATAGCTCTCAAAGTCTAAAAAATGCGAAAATTTCAAATTATATTTCAAGGAACTACTACAACACATAAACTACTAACCACAAAAAAGGCAAAAATGCAAAAATAAGGAGCTAGAAGGAGTGTGTCAGAGAGGGAAAAAGAGAAAAAGACTTACCAAATACTCAAAAATGCGAAAATTATTGAGTAGAAGGAGAATGAGGAGGAGGAAAAGGAAGGAAAAGATGGGAAAAGACTTGTGGTTGACCGCACTTTTGCTTATATAAGCTGTGCCAAACAAAGCCACATTACAAGACTTGGTGAATTTTCACATTTTGCTTACTTGACTGTGGGAACATTTTCCAATGAAAATCAAAGTTATAGCCATTGTCAAGGGAAGTCCATCCATGGTCTTATGATATCAATAGGTTAAGATCCTAATGAGTTATAAGCAAAATGCTTGAAAGTGGATGATTCAAGAAACCTTGACTGTGGGAACTTTTCTGATGAAATCCCAAGAGTTCCTAAAGCTGTTAAAGTGCCATTTTGAATCCTATCTATAAAGCTCTCTAGCGCAAAACAGTTTTCCCTGATGAATGTTTGCTTTTGCAACTGACTGTGCCTCCATTGGGTTGGTGAGGATGTTGATGAAGTTGAGTAACTATCTTTCAATTAGAATTTGGTGTGCCTGGGCTTCACTATAGGCTAGAATTTTGGTTAGCATGGTTGAGACACCTTCCTTGGTGGCTGCTGCATATGACTTTGGTTGTTGTTCATTCTTGCCTGCTGCCATTTCATTGCTTTGTGTTTGGACTTAGATGGTTGTGTTGGCTCTCTCAACCACCTGCACTATCTTTAGTGCTGATGCATTTAAGTGTTTGCTTATCTCTGTTGTCATTTGTTCCATCACTGTCTTTTGTGACATCATCATCTTTTCTAAATCTTCGACTTTCTCATCCAGTATTGCTGCTGGTTCTCCCATCAGTGTCTGTATTTTCTTGATGGTGCTCTGGGTGTCTATCTTTTAGTCGACTTCATATAGTACTATTGCCATTGCTCTGAGTATGTCTGTGTAGGTCACACCTAGCTGACTGAGATGCTAAATTTGAACAATGCTGTTATTATTGCTTGTAGCATGTTTCCTACTGTGCTGTTGGTAGTAGTAATCTGTGTGTGGATAGGATTTTCCTGGCTGAAGTGAGTGTGTTGACTGACATCTGTTCTTATTTCTGAGACTAGCATATGGTCTTTGTTGGACTTACTCATTGCTAGTATTGGTTTGCTTGCAGTTGTTTTCCAATTATTCATGCAGATTGATTGCAAGAGTGTTGGTGGACTTAATGTGTTTGGTGGGGCCATTGGTTAGATTCTTGAGTGTCTTGAGTATCTTGAAGCATTAGGGCCACCATTTGGCATCCTTGGCACTGTTGAGCATGATGTTGGTTTTTGATTTCCGGTGTAGGATTGGAAGTCCTTACAGCCTCATAGTGGCTATTTTTGTGGTATCCCTCAGCAGCCTATAGCTTTACTGTATGAAGTGCAGCTTTCCCGCGAGCCATGCTTAGCGGCTGCTATTTTCCTGCAATGGCCGCAATGTTCCCATGTGTACACATAGCC